ACATGTCCCCAGTTTTTGCAGGTGGAGCAACAGGTCGTGTGACTGGAAGTACCGCACTCGGAGCATGTTTTACCAGGGTGAGCCTCTCGAGTCTTGTTCCCCTTACCAGCAACCATGGCAATGTTGCCAGACTCCTTTTTGTCAGAGTCAATGAGTTGCTGTTCCATGTCTAGATGAGAGCGTATGTTTGCTGGCCCATACGTAGAAGTGGAGGTGCTGGTGGAGAGAGCATCAGCGATATGATTGCGTACATGGGGGAGCTCATCATTCATAGCATTGAAATTTGAGCATGATGATGGTGGTGAAGTCGTCCTCTTTGGGGATTCTGATAGTGTATATGCATCTGACCATGTCGCTAATCTCAGTGCTCATAGTTGAGAGGTGTTCTAACCAGCAGTAACACATAGCAAGTGCCTGTTGGATCAGCAAGATCTGCGCAATAGGGCCGATTTTCTCATGTCGAGATCGAAGGGCAATCCAGGCAAGATATGTGTTTGTGTAGGGACATAGAGACTCTTGTTCTTCGGGAGTAGACCGAGTGCGCAGCACTGCAATGATACATAAATTATTAAGGTCCCAGTGACCAGTGCTAGAGGGGTCAGCAACAGGGTCTGGGTGCGGAATCAGGCCAAGAATGTATCCACCGCTGTGCTTTAAGAACAGATAGTTCTGCATTTTGTCAGACCAAATGCTCCAGTTGTTCTTGCTGCGGTCTAAGATTTCAATCTCTTTTAAGTTGGTCTGACTGAGAGTAATGGTCGTGATGGATGGTTGCATCACAGTGGTCACACTAGCTGTTGTTGCCTGTGCAGGTATGGCAGCAGGCGCTACGATAGGGGCGGCTGTGCTCGGATTTCCTGTAGGTGCGGCTTGAGAACTTTTGGACCTTGTATGAGATGCACAAGGCAGCATGATGGATGTTTGAGGCTAAGAGTAGCTGGAGGGGAATATTATCTCTTGTTGGATCATATACCTGTGCTCAGGCCTCTCGCCTGAAAGGGCAATGGTTCTATGTTCAAATAAGTTATGTCAAATAGAAGATGCGCACTCAGGGCACAAGTGTCCGTATTAGGTCGATTGGACGCTGATAGATCTAGTAGGTTTCTGGCCATTGATTGTAACAGGCCAGGGCTCATAACCTAATGAAATCTAGATACAGGAATCAGTATCCCTCAGCCTAATGTGAAAGACTGAGATTAAGCTGTACCTAGATACAGGAATCAGTATCCTAGGTATGAGCAGTGAGTCTAAGTACAGCGAGATAAAGGAAACATATGACTCACCCTCAGCCTAATGTGAAAGACTGAGGGGAGAGGGAGACAAAGGTAAATCAAACATATATATGGTGCGTAGCGTGCCAAACATCGAACTCCAATACACGTCCCGTGATCATGTCGTGCATCAACACTTTTGAGGTTCATTATATGATTAAGCAGGGCTCATAACCTTTCAGGATTACGAGCATTACATGGATAGGGTGTTCGAAGCAGTCTGATTCTTTTGGAACATTCCAATGGTTATATATATACTTGAACTACCCACAACATTACTTAAGCTCTGACTTTCCTCTCTGCTAGTCTTTAGCTGATGACAGATGTGTCCTCAGGATGGTACACGAATGGCTTGTATACCTCAACAGTCATAGTCAAGAGTTGTCAACTCTTTGTTTGTACAATTAATTTTGGTTCCCAGAAAGGGTTAGAACTTGGTATGCCATCTGGGATGACTGATGACAGACACTCATGGACTTTGATGTTTGAAGTTTGAAGTTTTTGAAAATCTTGGTCTGGCCAGCTCAGAGAAATCTCAAAAAATTCACCATTGATTATATGGACCCCACAAGCCAGGGCCAGACAGCATACTCATGAGAGTACAATGACTGTGGTTATCATTGTCCCCATCAGCAAAGATGAAGTGCTCAAGTTCAAGGTGAGTGCACTGCAATGAGATGTCCAATATAGAAGATGAAGCAGAAAGGACAGTTAAGAGCTCATGAAGCTCCCATTTTCACTGCATGATGAGCATGCTGTGTTGTGTGACAATATGAGAATATGATTGTAAGGCAGAATAAGCACAGTGGGCGCAGTGCCCAAATGGAGCCTCACCTGGTCGGCTAAATTGTTTGGCTCTAAGGCATGGTGGGACTTAACAACTCTTGACCTGACAACTTAAGAATTGAGCACACCTTGAAAGTTGAGACCCACTATATGGGTGAGCAAACATCTTAGGTACCAGCTTACTATGTTGGCAAGGTGGGAGTAATAGGTGACATTCAGTACCCAGTTTGTATAGACAGTAGTTTGATCAGTATGTAGAAACATATATACATGATATCCTTGCAATGAAGCAAGCTTGTTGCTTCTACTTCTAACCCTCAATCGGTTCCGCATCTCCTGTTCCTCCCGTTTTCGGGTTAAACTCTAAATGCTGTGCAATTAAGGGCCATACTGGATGATACGTCACCCCCCATGCCGTGATAATTGATAGTCCGAGCACATACCTTCCTCGAATCCAGGATGTCTTCCTATACGAATTTGTTGCCACACGCTGCGCATCGCGTCTGAAGAACGGATATCTCCCCAGTGCTCAAGGAAGAAACTAACTTGAACCTTGCGGACGTCCGAAAAGGTCGCAGAGAATGGAGAAAACACCTCGTATGGAATATTGTCGACAGTGAGCGACTTCTGAATGTGCTGTATCGTGTGCGTTAACACAAATCACATCCGTACGAGAGTAAGAACTACCTGATATGCACGCTCTTTCAAATCAAGCAGGCCAAGTTCTTCGGTCAAGATTACAGTGAATAACGAAGACAATCAGGAAGGCGTGTGATTGACTCACTGTCTGCTAATCGATAAGCAGCCTTCGCAGAACAAGGCGATGGTCGCCCTGGATGGTTTTGTTGCCACTTTCGGATCCACTCTCTCCTCGAGGTGGGAGTTTCTGTCGAGCTCCCTGCTTTTGGAAGGTCGAGCAAATTAGACTGACTATCAGAGGGGGCTTGCGCTGTTGAAACTATTGTCGGCGGCTTCTTTTGAGCCGTTGAGTTAAACGACGAGGATATGGGGGCGAAGACAATGACATCAGTATAGATCTGTAACGCATAGGTCATAAATGTACCAAAATATACCCTAAACCACGCTCACGTAGTAGAGAACAGCCCTGTAAGTTGCATATGCAACGTCCCGGATGAAGACACGCATTTTCTTGGGTCCCGCAATCTCCTTGCCTTTGGCAGGTGCTGTGGGTTTCATCCAATCGTGTGCATTCGTGTCAGGAGCTACGCTATTGCTCCTTGGGGATGACGGGTGGGATAACTTGGGTTGAACATTACGTGTCTGTCCGTCTTCTGGACCACTCGACATTTGTGCATCTGACTCTACGGAATGGGCATTTAGTTCGGTGTCGCCGGTACTTGCAACTGGGACCACAAAAGGTCCAGCGTCCTCTTCGATCTGCGACTCTACAGTGCCATCAAAACTTGGTTCATCGATTGTCTCTGTCGTAAATTCATCGTCTTCATCATCCGAATCGTCATACTGACGACTAAGATAGGTGTCGTCGGAGGCGCCGTCGCCATCATCGGCATCGTATTGGCCATGGTCTGGAGAAGCCTCAGAGAATCCGGAGCTGAACACTAAGGACAGTGCAATTGTAAGTATCGTGCACTATACCGATCCAGTCGGCCTTACTAGTCTGAAAGTAATCTGCTCTTTGCAATATCTTTCTGTTGGCGTAGATACACCTAAAACTCTTCGACCTGCCTCGGCAGGGCAGGACGAACTCGACATCGGAGTATAGTGGGTCATCAAGCAGCGACCCTACGCGTTCCAAAAAATCCTTCGGTACAAGCTGAGCTGGTGCTGAGGGTGGTTGCGTAGGTTCGGCCGGTGATGATGTGATAGTACAGATGATGAGGAAGGCGTCCTGTTCCTTGACGGCATTTGAATGATAGTATACATGATCTCGTCGCGCAAACTGAGCCCTGTCCAAAGATGTGATGATATATCTCGTGAATAACGGGACTCACACACCATCCCCAATTGGCTGTCTGTTATGAACAAACTAAGCATGAATCGAAAAGTTAACCGAACAGTATACCTTCGATGAAAATGAATGGTTGTGGGCTTCTTTGATATTGAATAATGCGGTCTTTCCGAGACTGTACGAAAAGAATCAGATGCAGACAAACCATAAACATGTTGAAGTCTGACCTTCGAAGCTCGAAATTGAATTTGTAGACGCCCTCTCGTACCCACCTATGCATTTGAGATTAGTATGCGGGAGGGTGTATCCTAAGTAGGCCGAAGCCTCCCTGCGACGTACTTGCCGTCCACCGCATTGTCTTTTTCTTCGGCAGTGGGCTAGAGATACCGGCGTCAATAACGAGTTTGTGATACAAGGAAGGTTGGTGCGCACTTCACAGGACAGATACAAGCTCACGAACCCTCCGCCCTCCGTGCCAGAGTTTGCATAGAAAAGAATCTGTATAGCGGTATTCGATAAAGCTAGCCGGGGAGGCAATACAGTGTAACGCATACCTGCCAGCGTCCATGTCCAAATCTCACAGACTTGGTAACCTTTGACTTCGATTCACCTTTGCTACAATTCTGGTCAGCGGTAGCTGGGAAGCATTGCGATGGGATTACCTCGATTCAAAGATATTCTTGAGACCACGAAGGGTCCACTCGAAGGTGACTGCCGTGCTTTCTTGGATGTCTGTTTTTTCCATCACGACTCGGATGTTTAGTCCGAAGAATTAGTAGGAGGTATGAGAACCAAGGCTTTTCATAGGGACGAGATATGTGAACGGTATTGAGATGGATGCTCTGTGCAATGTGGTAAACATGTGTGCGATGACTGACTAAGTCCAAACAATGAGGTAGCCCCTGTCCGTCGCTAAATAGGTACAATATGTACACTGGACATGTGCGTAAAACCTAGTGCGACACAATTCGCTTTTAGTATATGTGGATATGTAACAATGTATCCCAGACTCCTCAAGCCGATTGAGCCGGGTCGGTGGTATTCGCCTTTCCTTCAATGGTCAATGCGTCCATCTCCTTAGTCATGAGCCTGAGAGTCTCCACAGGGTATGAATGATCAACAATGGTAAAAGAATGTCCCGCGCATGAATATAAGTGATCGAAAGTATCACTAGCTTCGGCGGGATCATGGTCCTGGCTCGGGTCATAACCGGGGATGATCCGTTTGATTGGGATGAGCTGCAATTTTACCTTCGGCGCAGACCCGCATGGAATGAAGGTACGAATTAAAAGCTTCTGCCCCGGCGTTTTGCTGTTCCGTGCCAGCTCCACCATAGTGTCCCACTTTTGTTGCATCAGTTGGTCGCACTTGCAGGTATCTGGCACAGGGAGCGATTCCGTGCAACCAACACCAATGCGGAAAGGAATACATGTGTAATCAATCTCAACGACGGCAGGCCCTGGAGCGTGTATTGCTGCTGTCCTAGAGATTCGCTCGTTATGGCACGAGAGATCAGATGCAATCACGCGATCAAGAAAGCGGAGATCACGAGTAGAAATACGGGACATGATTCCTTCTGCAAGGAATCAATGAATGAAATGCGGCATCAGTCACAAATTTATGAAACACATACTGGCACGGCGAGCTTGTATTCCGCGACAATATGTTTGATGGCCGCCTTGTTTCCAATCATAAATCTGGCATTCCCTACTGCAGTAATGCACGTGAAGGCAACCAGCACAACGCTTGAAGGTGCCTGCTGCCCCAGATTTGTTGCACTAGACAACGATCACTACGAAGATCATAGAGGAATATGTGAGATTATACGCACCTTTGAACTTTGACAAGAATCGACATGTGCCTCATCGACATCATCAGTCTCTAACAACTTGAGTCGGCTCATCACAAGTGCCTCCAATGTGGACCAGTGTTTGTGCATTGGGCCATCCGGCTTTGGCCTGTCCACCGCCTTAACGGCGTTAAGGGCCTTGATGGACCGTCCCATCACTTTAAGCACAGAACGAAAAATCGCATACTTGGGGAAAATGCTCGAGAGAAGAAGCCAGAGTGGCTCCCAGTCTTCGTCATTATTATCCTTGAGGTGTTTTACCCACGGCTCAACCGCGAGCAACGAGGGCAGCAAGCCTGCCTCGAGGACCTCAGAGATCCAGGGTAGCCCATCCGTGTCTTCTATATATGCCCTTATATACCAACATGTGTACGAAATGGCCTTGGCCACTAAGTGACGTTGTTTGATGGAGTGGGGCCGCTGAGATACCATGGTAGCAATAACGCCTGCAGTTTTCTGCATGGAGTGTTGCATAAGTAACGGAATGCGGATCGTGTTGTTTACGGAAAGGGAGGTCAGAAGGTGGATGTCCCAGATAATTAAGTCGTAATCGACGGGTTGCTGTGCGAGGTCGTGCTCCAGATGATCAAGAGCTGCTGCAGCGATCCTCGCTCCGTCATTATTGAACGGGCGCATGATTTCATGCCAATTCCAGGTCTCCGTTTCAGAGAATGTGCACATCCAAGAGTCTAGAATGGCTGGAGTGCGGATAATCGGAGGGGGACCGGGGATGTCATCGTCTTCCACGCAGGAGCTGAAATGACGATCTTTTGTTTCTAGATCCCACAGACTGAACAGCAAAGACACGATTCCTGGGCTAGACAGGACGATAGGAAGCGAGTCCCCGAGCGTATCATGCCTGCAGATGCCTAAGAAGTCGACGATTGCTCGCTTAGCGAGAATACGCATGGTTCTATCAATGCTGTCTTTGAATACGTAGTCTGCCCCGAGGAAAAGCAGCCATTCGCGAATGATGGGCCAGCGGGAAGTCAGCGTGCTGAGCATTCTGGCAGTGTAGACGGAGCGGCCAAGCCAAAATGGCATGAACGATGCTAGGCCTCGAAAAGCCAAAGCTTGTTGCATGGGCTCAGGGATGAGCCCACGCTTGACTTGTTGGAGATGAACTGAGTCTATGGTACCGTACAGCGCGATGGTGATTTGATACACATCGGGGAATGTGCAGTCGTCCCTCAGAGCAAAGAGAGTGGCGGAGGCGACAGAGTCAAAAGATCCTTGGCTCAAGCCGTCCAAAATATTCTAGATATCGCGAGAAATGGTTAATGGAATGTCTGACGACGGGTAGAAGTACGGCAAACCTTGAGCTCGTTGGAAGACCGTGACATGACGAGATGGTCTGGTTAACAAAAGTGGTTTTTCTGAGTGGCAACTCGGCTTATATATCATGGTGCCCCTCCACATGGCTCATAAAGAGGATTGGTCAATCACAACCTAGCGAGTCACGGTGGTGATTCTGGTGAACGTGCCGGACCATTGGCAATTTCAAGTTACCATATGGACTCAAGCACAGCACTGTAGATCTGCAGATGGAGAGGAAACAGATGGGGACCTTCTGCAAGCGTCACCTACTTGCCGGATCAATCTTTGAGAGTCTAGGTTTCATAGGTCCTACACTTGTGCCACCACATCCGAGTTCGATATGGTGCATGATGTTGGAGCCGTATTGCCGGTTCTTGCCGATTTTTACGCCTGACCATGTCGATTAAACTTTCATTGGAGCGTATTCGGCTCCTTGCACCACATCTTCCTCCATATTCACGGCCCACTGTTCATGTCGCTGGCACAAATGGCAAAGGAAGTGTCACCTGCATGCTATCATCCATTTTCCTTGCGTCGGGTCTTACTGTTGGTCGATTCAACAGCCCTCATCTAGTGTCCGTCCAAGACTCCATTTTGATCAATGAACAGAGCATATCACTAGAACAATACAATCTTTCACGTGCAGCTGTCGAGAGCGCAGACCAAGCCCATGGCACAGAAGTTACCAGTTTTGAAAAGCTGACGCTTGTTGCACTGCAGGTCTTTGAGAAACTTGGGGTGGATGTTGTGGTCATTGAGGTGGGCATGGGTGGTCGTCTGGACGCGACCAATTACATACCAGACGAGTCCATACTCCTCTCCGCTCTCACGACAGTCGACCTTGATCATCAATTATTCCTTGGAGATACCGTCGAACTCATTGCCAAGGAGAAGGCCAGCATTGCTAGGAAGAACAAACCTTTTGTCTTAGGCATTCAGAAATACGCTGCTGTCGAGAATGTAGTGCGGTCTGTCGTTGAACAGACCGGCGCTCACTTCATAGCAACTCACTCTGCACAGCGACGAGCGTGGGATGATACCATAGATGGTCCATTACCGCCTTCGTTCTCGCTGGATGCAGAATCATTCAGGCCTCCCCCTCCTCAGCCTATAACATTCACCAGTTCGGCTTTCCCAAACAGCTTATCCGCACTTTTATATTTGAACGGAAGCCATCAAGTGGAGAACTTGAGTCTCGCATTGACTGTCATATCCACACTTATGACTCACCCATCGTGTGCATCGAGGATGCCAAGCGGTTTTAGCGAGCGTGTCTTGCAAAACATAAATACAGGCATTAGAAATGCCACTTGGCGAGGTCGCCTGTCATTCCATAGTCTCATGGTGTCCTCACCTTATCCACGGGCGATCACTGTCCTTGTCGATGGTGCACACAATCGTGCGTCATCAGAAACCCTCGCTTCGTATATTTCCAACCTCGCTACGATGTTGGACGGAAATCCAAAAGTGCGGACATTACGATTAACTTATATCCTCGCCCTATCACGTTCTCCCCCTAAAACGCCGAAGGATACCTTATCCCCGCTCTTCGACTCTCGAAGTAGCACACGAATTTCGATACAGACCAAAATTGCCGCGGTACGATTCACCTCGCCGGAAGGCATGCCTTGGGTAAACTCTGTGCCACCGTCTGTGATCGCCGCGACCGTGCGTGAGTCTGTATCAGGTATAGGGCTGTGGGTTGCGTCCGACGAAGGTGATATTCAGGGGCAACTTGAGAGTGCGCTGGAATGGGTGACCACGGAGGGAACGGAGGAAGAAGATGGGGTACAAGAGCTGGTGATTGTCGCGGGGAGTCTATACCTCGTGGCGGATTTCTATCGTCTTCTTGCGAAGCAAGAGGTGAACCCCAGTTGACAAGTCGGACCGAAATCAGTACAGTTGTTTCGAATATCATTTGTTTTTCTGGTTCAATGATTGGAAGCGTCTACAGAGATCTTGTCATAAATGGGGTTGTGGCACCGCGTGGGGTCTTTTGTTGTGAGGGACGTGTGAAGCTTTGAAGGATGGTATGATCAACGTGTATACAAGCCTCCAACAGCCTAGTAGCACTTGGTCTGGAATGTGCATGAAATGTGCAACTCATGCTTACCGATATCAGCATATCTGATCCACGATTAACGTTCGCTCTGAGACTCCTTTAAATGTTCTAGCTATAACAAGACAGGTTACGGCTGCCATTTCTACCCACCTCTACCTCGTGGGGCTGTTCGCAAGTACGATGCTACTAGGAAGCTGAAATTGTTATCTGCTGTGACATTGTGATTGGCCATTCTGATCATCCACTGACAGCTGTCAATCAAACACTGGTAGCAGCCACTAACCCAAGTATCCTCGAGGTGCGAAACACGGGTCTGAAGATCAGGGGACTCCGCCACTTGTCAAGTGCACTTATCGACGAATGCTAACATGTTCATGGGCGCTGGGTTGAAGTCTCCACTCCCTTGGAGGTGATGAAAGTGATCATTTCTGGTGGGTGAAACGGTGAATGCTGCTAATTTGTCGATAAACAGCTTGTATGGCGCACGATTCCATTGTTACGACACGGGCCCATCAAGATAAGGTGGATTTGAATTGATGGTCTGGAGTCATAATGTACGTTCAGACATAAGATCTGGCTCTGCGCCGCTCTGGCCATGGAATGGAGGACTTGCATCGAAAACAGGGACTAGATGCCATCTTAGTTACTGAATCGTCAAGTCACAGGCTAGATGGTTTCTGAGAATCCAGACGTACCTGGGGCTCTTGTCGAGAGCTACCGCCCGTATGTAGGATGAGAACCTTATGGAGTGGCGGCCAATGCGCAATGCGTTTGTCGCAGGCTATTATTGTGTCACCTTGTCAACAGGGCGGATCGCCATAATATCGATGAATCCCCCATTGGCAGATTACCTACCTAGTAATGGTAAAAACATTGGTCGAGCTATTTCATTGCGAACCATTATAAGTGGTAGAGTAATACGAGCCTGCGTTCGAGGAGCAGATTAATGTCGCCGTCGATTTGGAAGCAAGTTCATATTAAATGAAACGTTGACCGACTGATGTGACTGTGTGATATGTGAGGAGTAGTCCCACGACACTTAGCTTTAGTTGTGGTTACCAGTCGAGCTGATCAGTACGCCTTCTTTCATCTCTTCTCTCTTTTCCCTTCTTTTCAGAGCTCGCGCGCTGCCAGCTTAGCCAGTCTCCATCAAGAGAGGCGTCCATTCGCTTTTTCGTATTTATTTTTCTAGCCAGCCGCCTCACATCGCATATTTGAATCAAGTAATCACTGAATGTCCGGTGTAGAGCCATCCAGAAGACCCCCTCTTGCTGGCAAACCACCATTTGCAACAGACGATCCAGACGAACTTTTCGACCAACCATCACTTTCTAAGCGCCGTGTCCGTCAGCCAGCAGAACCTAATCCCAACGACCGCACTTCTGCCTATAACATGTACGTTCACACGCTTCGGTTTTTCAACTTGAGAAGAGTAGGCAGATAAACTGATTTACTCTGCAGGTACGATCAATATCTTGACGGTGAAGTTTCCTCCAACCGTCAGTCTGGTTTCGGTGCAGTCGGCCTCGGTTTCATGACTGGGGACTTGAGTGACGATGAGGACGAGGAAGTCCTTATGCATAAGCCTCCTATGGTAACCGAGTCTAAGCATGGTGCTATGAATGCATCCCCGATACCCCTCGCTGCTCCACGTCCCGGTTATCCAGCACCCATCTCAGCCCTCAATATACCATCTCCCGCTGCAACACCCGAAATGAGACAAACTGTCCAACACCCTCCCGTGCACCAGCCTCCACAACCCATGCCAAATGCACTGAAAGTCAACCACCCCCCAGCTGACATAGATATTCAACCACTGCGTATGCCTGTCCCAATTTACGAGACTCCTTCCCCTCGTCCATCAGTCCCAAACACTCCGCATCCTCTCCAGCCTCCAATGACCCCAATCACTCCCGTCTTTGCTCGTCCCGCCAAGTTACCCGCCCCAAGAAATATACAGTATGCAGGCGACACAATCATTCGTGGAGGCTCAGAGGACAACTTGGTGCCGAGACGTGGCCAGAAGGGAGATGACTTCTGGAGGAGGTTCAGCATCGTTGCGAAGGACGAGAAGAAGACGAGTTCTTGGTTGATAAAGACACAGAATGGGTCTTCAAAGTTGTCACGCTGGGTTTGGTTCATTGGGATAATGCTTTTAGTTGTATGTGCCTTCTTTATCTCTCCTGCCTCCTAACTCATCTATTGTTGTAGCTCATTGCTGCTGGTATCGGAATCGGCTGGTACATCTCTCATAAGTCAACATCGACTACGGTTCCAAAGGCTATCGGAGGCAGCGCCAATGAAACCATGAATCCCACCAGTACTCGTACATCGATCGGGGTTTCTTCATCTTCATCATTGCACGTGTCGCCTACAAACACGGTTGCACGCCGTAACGAGGCCGCGCCCACACCTGCTATCCGCGAGGCAGTGCAGGAGTTCTTGGAGGAGGTTGGCCAAGTTCCAGTGGCAAAATTAAACGTGCCTGCCGGACGGAGCTGGAAACATCGGCGCCGTGTCGAGATCCAGTTCTAAGCTGCGTCTCTCGCACTTCATTACATTTTAGGAACTCTCCATGATTTAGGGTTCATGCTCGGATCTTCGTCTCGACAGTCTTTGCTTCTGGTTACTTACAAGCCTTAGCCCGTGCTCTATTGTGAGGGTGCATCCATAGGCGTGAGCGCCTGTTCGTTCGTTTAAACAATCTCATCACGGTACCAGCGTGATTCGGACCTGTACTTATCAGGTATCGCAGCTCGGTCTCGATCACATTTTTAAAAACTCAAATATACATTCTTCACGTTCATCCAACGACTTTTTTTACTCCCTGGAGACAATCCACCTTTCATAACCTTTGATACCAGATAGATACATTGGCACATGACGATTGCTCGAGTACGAGAATCGAGGTTACCAGCCTGTATCACTCAGCAAGTACTGACTGCTTGGGACTTCGGAAATAAATTCATTATACAATGGCTGTTTGTGTGTATTCTGATGCCCAGCATTGACGTTATTATAGGGCACCCGCGTCAATGGGACTCAGTATGCAGGATGTAAAGAGTATGCTTCAAAAATAATCAAATTCGTAAGTAGCTTCCTTGTCACTGAGGCTGCTGAGGGGCCCTTCAACCACGCAACCTCTTCAATGGTCGATCCTCCTTGGACTTGAGCATGGATTCTGAGACCTTCGTATCCTCGAGGATGTCCACCTCCACATCCGAATCATTATCAGCTTGCCCAAGCTCTTCGCTCTCGCTCTCGCGTTTGCGTTTCGCGTCCTCTTCCTTCGCCGCCCTTGAAGCCTTCCACTCTTTGGAAAGGATTTGAATCCGTTCAATAAGATCTTTCCGGGAGTGCTGTACCACATGCTCGTTCCAGTCGAGTTTGCGCTGTTCAGCAGGATATATTTTCTTACTCTTCAGAACACAGCCAATGTCAGAGTCAAAAAGCGAGAACTAGGCAAGATACGCACTTGATGGACGAGATTAAAGTAGTGAACAGGATTTGCAAGGAAGGTTTTAGCGAAATGTAGCAGGTAGACGCCGCAGTCGGCAAAATTGGGCTGGGATGGGACCTGTAATGGAGCGTTGAAAAGGGTCCTTGTTTTTGAAAAACGGGACTCCACACCTGCGCAAGCTTGACTTCAGCCAGTCTCACCTCGTCCAATTGTTGCTTGTCTTTTGCTTCAGCCTTTAGCCAATATCGCAATACCTTCTGTGCTTGAGGATGCCGTGAACCTAGGGAATCCAGCGTGAAGATCCAAGTGCTGCAACGCATTATAAGCCGATTATTAAAATGCAAATACGTCGGCTTACGTAAGAGGATCATTGGAAGTAGCAAGACTGGGTTGGACGTCCAACATAGCGTCTACTTCCCTTTCGTGCTTCTCGTCCTCATTACGATCATCCTCCTCTTCGGAGTCCGGCACAACAACTGGCTCAACGGCCTTCTGTTTCCCCTTTGTCCTGGTAGAGGTTCCATAGAAGTGAGCCGCAGGGATACCCATACGAGATGGAGGTTTCGATGACGGAACACTGGGAGCCTCGGAGACATGTGTTGAAGTTGACGCATTGGAAGATGGAAGATTATCCTTTGGCCCGGTCCCCTCTGGGATCGTGTCGATGTCGATAACGGTGACGTCAACATCCATCGGTTCCAGACATGGAGAAGACGTCGATAAGTGTAAGTCTACATGTGCTTCGACAGATATCGATCTCCCTGAGGCCTTGCCAACAGAGGCAGACCTGCCTTGTGTGGATATAGAATTGGATGGTGAAACCCTGAGTAGTTTCGGAGGAAGGTGGCCAGATATTGAACATGACTGTGTGAATTCCACAGGTGAGATGTCATCCATGTCTTCATCTTGCGTAATACTTGGCGTGGACGCGCAAGTAGCGTGCAGTGAGGCCGATTCGGCGTCTGGCTCTGATCGTGTTCCTAATGCTGGTAGGTCCTGGGGTGGTACAGCCTCAGGCTCAGTTGCAGTAATTACGTCTGGCTCGGTAGCAGTCTTTCGCCGCAGCTTTGCCCGTTGTGAAAGAGAAGGTTCTTTCTGAGGAAGGGGTGGGAGAAGAGTGTACTCGGGTTCATAGATAATGGCAAGGTACCAGTGAAGACTTTAGAACGGTGTCAGGAAGGGTCGACCTCGTTAAGGACATACTCACTTCTCGTTAATCGGGACAATTATGTATTTCTTTGAGAATATATTGACCCTGGACGTCCATTTTTTCACGCTTTGGTATCCTTCGTCCAAGCTTCAGGCAAGGTGTGTAATTTCGGAACTTTACAATGAAACCGATAAAACTTGCCTTTTCTTGTTGTTGAGCTTCTTATAGAAGAACGAACTGAAGACGTGAATTTGTTCCGCAAGATCCGGATTTTGCTCCTTAAGATCGGCGAGCCAAAGCCTGCATATATATTAGCATCATGCTCAATAAATGGCAGGTGACCGTACTTTAAGCCAAACTCTATCAATGTATCATTGAGGAACTCGTGCGGTCTGAGCCTGTTCAAATCGCTGCCCATGACGTTCAATGCGCCAGGACCAGATGGGGGATATACGAGAATTCTAGTAAAAACAAGTAAGAAATGAAACAAAGTACTAATGATAAAAGAGTCGCACAGTTCTTCAGGATCTGCTATGGGAGGTGATTCTGACGGAGTTTGGGGTACTGCAGCAGCAGAGCGCCGCGATGAACGGCGCCGCGATGTACCGGCCTCAGCGTTAGCTGATTTACTATGAAGATTGTGGGTCACCGACTAAAATTGAAGCAGTCACAAAGTAACCTACATTTCAGGTGCCAGGCACGATCCAGAATTGATTGTGGAGCTAAACACATCTGGCACAGGGGATGCATTCTTGATGGTAGAGGCCATCGGCTCGTAGCGAGGATTAGACGAACGACGACTTTGTTGTTGAAACATCTCTGCAAACTGCTGGACTTTCCCCCAGATTGCGCCCGTTGGTCTACTTTCAATCAGGTAAGTTCTCCTTAGGTGGTCAATGACTTCGTACCTTGCAGTGCTGTGTGTAGATGCTGCTTCAGCCAGGCGAAGGCGTAGTTTCTGATATATCGATTGCGTCCATCCTTTGGCTTCATCCGTACTAAACAAGAACGTCAGGTTCCCGCGTCCGCGACTCAGTCCTGGGCGCAGCGGTTCAGCGCATAGCACACTCATCATAATGGTACACGCACCAGGTACAAACTCATCTATTGCATTTCCGTTTTCACAGACTTCGCAATCTTTCGCCGTCTCTAGCTGTATGACTACGTTGTCTTTCAAGGATCTCTCTTCGTCATTTGTGACCTAATCGATATTAGCACAAGTGCCACATAATTTATGTTGGGGACGTACTATTACGCTTTCAAACACATTGGTTTGTTGAAACCAGAAAGATGGAGACTGTCCAGGTACAGCCACATTGAGACGTCTGGTCTTTGGATCATACTCAAAGACAGGGGGCTCGGAACCATTTTCGGCACTGAAGATTTTGAAACCGATTGCCCATGCTTGCAAAGGGAGCTTCAGGGGAGGGTCCTTTGTGCGAGGAAGCTCCTTAGATGTGAATTGCGTGGACGACGTGGTAACATGATCAAGCTGTGATCGAGACGTTGGGACAGACTGATTGAAGGTGTGAGTCATTACAAAGAAAACACGATGATGTTGAACCTTAGTTGTTTTTTTCGGTTTCATTTGCTTCACAACTCCAGCGCCGCCACGGAGTGCATTCTGTTTCCGTAAATCCAGGAATGGAACCTTATCTTCGAATACTTTTCGAGTATCGCGGACAATATATTCCGGTATGGGCGTAACTATTGCAGCTCGCTGCGATTGAGGTTTCGGAGGGAGCGAAGGCTGGCTGTTGCCTGCCTCTGACGAAAAGTCTTCAATATCATCAACTTCATCAGACACAACCGCAGTGTAGGGTTGTGTGGTCGGAGAGGAATCCTTTCCTTTGCCCTTCCTGGAGTCAGTATATTGTGGGTCACTTGGAAAGGTCTGGAAAGGATGAAGATTCATGGGGTCTGGTGAAGACGACAAAGGATGAGGACGAGGTACAGGTACCCCAAGATCTTCTCCGTCTGAAATTACGTGAACCTCTCGACCAAAGGGATGCTTGTGGTGCGCAGGCGTACTTTTCATTCCATGAGGTCGGTCGATGATTTGTACCTCGGGATCTGATTGCCCTGTATGTCTTATGGAAGCGCGGGTGTTGTTTGTGGAACTCGAATTGGTGATCCGTTTAGCCAAGGTACTGGAGGGTGCATGATCAAGTTTGGAGTGCTTGGGTTCTTGTGGCAATGATGGTCGTGCAGGGGTATCAAGAAGCGTTCGGCGCGCATTCGGATTTGTTCGGAGACTGTTGCCGTTGGAGATTTGATCGTAGGGGCTCGCTGCTGGCCTGGGGCGTGTGTTACGCTACATGACAGTGAGAGGATTACCACCAAAGTTGGATCTGATGGGTATCAGCTAACTCACTGTATTTGATGGGGCGGCTATTGGAGTAGGTAAATTTTTCCATGTACCTCTTCTACATAGCTTCATTCAGAATGATCTAGCGAAGTTAAGAATCAGACGTACGGATTACTTAGACTAGATGCATCTCGGTAGTTGGACGGCCCTGCAGTGCCATGCAAACTGTTGGCCTTTTGTCTTTGAGAAGCTGAAAACTCCATTTGCGTCCCTTGCAGCGCAGCGGATAGCGCTTCGTCGCGTGCCGGGGAGAACAAGAAGACGACTAACTCGCGGGTGGCTGCAAGACCCTTCGCTTACCCAGATTGAGCTCAATGTTCGATTGTTCACTTGCTCGTGTAGTCCTAGTTAGGCAATTTACTCAGACCTTGACACACGAAGCAAACACGGAGGAACCTGGAGGGAATCCTTGTTATTTTGGCTCATCGTGAGTGCCTACCTGCTACACTAATCCTTCTTTTTCTACTTGAACGATATACCTACTAAGCAAAACAACATATACATATTTAGTTAGAACTAGATGACTTTCCGCAATCAAGTCATGCTTTCGTAAAAGTGTCAATGAAAAACAGTAATTTTGACACGTTTTTAATGGAGGAACTCGGTAACCAAATCCCAGTAAGCGCCTGATAATATTTTGTAGGTGGATTGCGGATTGCTAAATTCTCTTCTGCTACCCAGCGGTAGTCTCCCGTAGGCGGACCAATAAAAGGAAAACAGTTACAACTGGTCCCGTCTACGGAGATCCTGTGGTACCCTCGCAGCAGCCACCAGCCCAATAATGTCATGAATATGCATAGGTCCGAACGTCCTAGTCGAGGTCCTGCGGCGGCGTCTCGTATCTGGCAGTACGGATTAGAACTCAGGTCCTGAGTACAAGCCCGGGACTGGAAAGCACTAGCGTGGCTAGAGCCAGCGTATGCTACACTCTACGGTTCATGAAGATCACCCATGGGATCATTCAGAACTTATCATACGAATGAAAAGTCTGCAAACTCGAAATCAGAAAGATCTAGTCGAGTGACCAGGTAACTTAGACCCTTCTCCGAGTCATAGGTGCTTTTCTCTTGGATCTGGCACCGGCGACGTTTACGGCTGCAAGAGAGATGAAAGAGACATCGTTCAATCATAATTAAGAGGGAACGAAGTCGAGGTACTTGCGGAGTAGGCCTCCACTACAAGGGATTAACTTTAGCAGCTTCCAGATATCAATAGGCCATATTGTGTCCCAGAAAAGTAGTCATCATCGACGAGCTCCAGGTACATAATCATTGATCCGACTGAGCTTGTGATCATCCCCCAAGAGCCTAGAAAGTCTGTGAGAGGGTGCATCTAAATACTGAGATACTGGGGACTCGGCAAGGGTAAGCTAGGATTGGCAATGGTTGACTTGATGGTTTTGAAAACTTTGTCTGCGACGTAGGCTTCGTCCGGGCTGGATACTTTTATAAGTGTCTGGTGTCTCCTGGGAATAATAAGCTATCAGTCAATCAAACCTTCATGTATTTGAATTGCGTGACTCACCATCGGGCCCAACTAGATCCTAAGATTGACAAACGAGGTATGCAAGTCCTATCTCGTAGTAAGTACGTATTCGAGGCGATGGATTTGATGGCCCTGGTGTTCTTGATGAAACACTGTAACCGAAAAGTTGAAGATTGCCCATGCAGACAAAGCGTTTGCAGTCTGGATTGCATTGAAAAAAAATCGTACCTTCGTATCATCTTCCAGTCAGAATATATGAGCCAACTGGCTCTCTCACGCCCCATTAGTCTTACTTCTCTCAATAGGGTTGGAGTCCTTCACGAAACTACGTCGTAGTGGTTGGTAATGAGACAACGATGACCGTCGCGGATGAGGTCTGAGGGCCTGATTGAAATAAGATTCAAAATCGATGACAACATGCGGCACACCCGCTTGTGTGCGTTGGTCATTTTGACTTTTGCAAATGCAGCCTATTAAGGAGCCTATCAATGCCTCGTCGGATAACGGCCTAAAAGGTTGAGCCGAGGGTGAAATGATTCTAGTCCATTCGACCTTTCTGTGATCTGACTGCAAATTTGACACGTCAGGTCACGCACAATGTGTCTCCCACCGGCTGCAACAGGGCACTCACAAAAAACCGAAATGCAAGCTAGCGAGATCGGGGAGCCCACACTCACTGTCAGAGCTATTGATGTCGTTCGCGATGCTCAGACAACTAATGACACTTGATGCATGAATCATCCTGCATCCCAGAAATCTAGCGGACATGAGCGGTGGTGGCGTGGACTCAAGCAAGTGAGCCTGAGGTCGATGCCAATTGACAGTACGTGTCATTGAGTATGAGGTTGTATTGAAAGTATGTCAGTGAGATTTGGACTAGAGCAGTCATGATGGAGTAATTATGCAAAAGCAACTAAGCCGCTTAGCAGTACTGCTCAGTGCTGGGATTAGTAATGGAGTCCATGCTCGGCTTGGTTTCAATCGTACACATATCAAGCAAATTATACAGGAGGGAGCATTAAAATGGGATGGTAAGACCAAGAGTGACGAGAGACCTGCTCGAGTTTACGGTACGTCTCGCTCAAGTATGTAGAATGTGTACAACCTGAAGAAAATTACATGAAGGACTCTGTAATTAGGTTGAGTTTGTTTGTTCTTATTGATAGCGTGGCAATCTTCCAATTGCAACGCGTTGCGGCGCGCTTCACGTACAGTGGCACACATAATACTGTCTTCCATATTACCTTCAGCAATAATGACAAAACGCAAAGTCGCTGTTGACGACGACGACGACGAGGCTCTAAATGCTTTATCTCAACAGTCCAAGCGTGCCAGAACTTTCGATAGCGATGATGAGGTCGTTGTTGACCGGTCGCGACACCGTGATAGGAAGTCTGGCAATGGCAATGGTAAGGCGCGTCAGGAGAATAGCGACGACGAAGAAGACGAAGAAGATCTAACCCAGGAGGAGCACAACGAGGAAGAGGAACAACGCTTCGAGGAACTCAATGGCGAGGCCATTCGCCAGCGCCTCGAGCAGAAGCGCAATACCTTTGGTGTAAGTAGGATGTCGGCTACCTCTGCCTATGGCTCAAGCTGATTTATGTGCCGTAGGGTATTGCAGAGCATGGAATAATTGAGTCCATTGAGATGCACCATTTCATGTGCCACAAACGACTTACTTTCACGTTCGGACCTCAGATCAATTTCATTATTGGTGAGTGTCACTTCGAGTGTGTTAAGCAGATGCTGAAATAGCTCTATAGGTCACAATGGAAGTGAGTACTATATATCGAATAGCTGACGTTTCGTTTCATTGACTTGACCTGTCAGGTGGAAAGAGTGCCGTCCTGTCTGCGATCACCATTGCACTTGGAGGAAAAGCAAACTCGACAGGACGCGGCAGCGGCCTGAAATCTTTCATTCGTGAGGGCCAACAGTAAGATTGACACGCTCACTGAGGTTTGTGTTACTGACCTTGAGATATCACACAAGGATTTCAGAAATCACCATTTCGCTCAAGAACCAGGGCGAAGAAGCATATAAACCCAAAGAATATGGAAAAAGCATCGTTATCACGCGTAAATTTACTAAGGATGGATCTTCTTCGTGGAAAATCAAGAGTAAGGACGGCAAGGTTGTATCCACAAAGAGAGACGAGCTTTCGGCCATCTGTGATCACATGAACATACAAGTTGATAATCCCATGAACGTCCTCAGTCAAGGTGAGTACTGCGTGCATGTATGCGTCTTCGATTCCATGTTAAAGTTTACGTAGATGCTGCTAGGCAATTTCTAAGTGCATCCCATCCCTCCGATAAATACAAGGTTAGTTTGCTTCCACATTCTAGTGTACTTAGTTCACGTACATGCATCGCAGTTCTTCCTGCGAGGTACCCAGCTATCGCAGCTTTCTGAGGAATATGACGCTTGCCTTGATAATATCAACCAGACCAAGAAGGTGTTGCACCAGAAAAAGCAAGTTCTCCCTGACCTACGCGCTGCATTCAAGGAGGCTAGCGTGCGCTTTGAAGAAGCAAGCAAAGCAAGAGAGCAGCGCTGCAAGGTTGATGAGCTCAAGAAGGAGCTTGCCTGGGCTCACGTCGCAGCGAAGCAAGCGGTAAGAACAGATCTTCTCAATATCCCCCTTGATCCGCATGACATGGTTGATTGTGTGTATCGTGAATAACGAACTGATGCAGCCATAATTTCTAGGAAATGGAGGCAAAGCTTGAGGAAGTTGCGAAGGCGGAACGCCGCTTGCCTAAGATCGAGGCTGAGATGAAGACAGCCGAGGTGAGCTCCTAGAAAGTCATCGGTACCGATATTCATATGCTCACATATTCTCGTTAGTCCCAATTCCAGCTTGCCTCCGATGCTGTAGAACAATTCGATAAGGAGTATTCCGCACTTGGCGATATTGATCACCTCACCAAGCAGCGCGACGATCTACAGGAGAAAATGCGCAGCAACCGGGTGAAGATAGGAAACTTCAAGGTCTATATACCTAATTTTCTGCTTTACCTCTTGTCTGACATGATTGTCTTTTCATAGAACGACGAGAAACAAATGAACACTTCTCTCAACTCTCTCAACGATGCCATCAATAACTACACGAAAAATATTGCTGAAGAAGAGCATCGTCTCGCTGCAGACACACAGGTAAAACGAGACGAGCTTAACCGAAAACTAGAGTCCGCCAGAACAGATGTCACGAACGCCGATCAAGCGCACAAGGGCTTCCTTGAAGCCAAGCGTCAAAAATTGGCTGAGCAGGACAGCATCAAGCACAAAGGGCTCGCCGCCGAAGCCAAGAAGAACAGCGCACAGGAGCGTGTTGTTACGGCTCAGAGTATGATTTCTCAGTGCAAGGAGAAAGGACAGAATGCACTTGCTCCGTACGGCCGAGACATCAAAGGTGTCCTCGACCAGATTGCGAAGATGAGGTGGCATGGGGACGTGCCTGTTGGTCCGCTTGGGATACATGTCAAACTGAAGGACGTGGCGTGGGCAGATTTGATGAGAATTCAGCTCGGAGGCCTGATGAGTGCGTTTGCGGTCACTGATGCCAGGGACAGACCACAACTCAAGAGGTTACTTGACCAGACGAAGAAGTGCGTTAGTCAATCCTTGTGTTACCTCGTCAGGCTGACCATGACACAGCTTTCATATTAATATTATCATATCCGAGCGTGACATGTTTGACTTCAGTGCAGGGGAGCCACCCGATCACATTCCCACTGTTCTTCGTGTCCTGGAGGTAAGTCTGTACTGTTTTCATTACTACCTACCTAATTCTGCTATCCAGATCACAGACCCTTACGTCCTCCGGCTGTTAATCAACCAAGCAAATATTGAGCGTACGGTCGTTGCACCCAAGCGTCTTGATGCTGACAACATCCTGAAACGCATGAATGGAGGAGGCGTCGCGTGGGCAGCCGATTACATGCGTGTCCATCGATATGCCGAGGGAGGTGGTCAGTCGATCAAATTGCAAAGGCTTCCTCCAAATGACCCCCGCAACATGATGTTCACATCAAGTGACTCTGCCTCTGTGCTTAGGTTCGTCGATATTGTACGATCTCACAATCATGCTGAATCATTTTGTAGCACTTGGCAAGAGAACTTGCAGAATGCAGAGGGCGAATGTAAGGCTGCACAAGAAGAGGCTACTCAGCTCAGACAGCAGTTTCAAGCCCTGGCACGCGAAATCAATGGGATGAATGTTAGTCTCACCCATTCCTCTCCGTTATACCATTCCTGAACACGCATGGTTTGCTAGGCGCAAGAACGCTCTTTATTCGAAACTCACCGTGCTGCGAAACAAGAGCTTGCTTCGCTTCAAGAGGAGGCAAAAGAAGAGATGCCGGCTGATATCATGGGATTGCAAAGCGCGAAAGATGTATGTTCACGTGAATTTCATCTATCCCGGCTGACAGTCCTCTCCGTACAGGAAGCCGAAGCGGAAAAGACCTCGATCATGCAACAATTCGAGGATGCTGTCGGTAGGAGAACCGCTATCGATCAAGAACAGGCTACTTTACTTGTGGAGTTGAACAAAATCAAAGGCCAGATTCATAACTTTGAAGAAGCACGTCAGGGAGTTCAGGTAAGTGTTACTTCCACGTTCCGTCTGCTGTCACCTAACGCCAGAATATAGAAAAAGATCGAGGACGCTGCTACGAGTCGTCTTGAAGCCCAAAGCAACAAAAATCACTACACAAAGAAGCTCGAGGACGAAACTAAAAAGGTTGAAGCTATTAATGCCATTGCGAAACAGCTACAGGAAGAGTTCATAGTCAGTATTTCAGCATTCATAACAGAGCTTGAGCGCTAACTTTCTATCAGAACTGGACCTCGAGTGCTGAGGAGTACTGCGAACGGGTTGAAAATCCCCGCAAAGTCGATGTAGTGGAGCGCACTCTTGAATCCGTTCAGAAAGCACTCAAAGAACGGGAGCGCAGGCATGGCGCAACGGTCGAGGAAATGACGATTGAAGTGAACAATGCGAAAGCTGTCCTAGACAGCGTAGAAAAGGAACTAAGAAGTCTCGCTGCGCTGAATAATGTGAGGCTGGCTCGCACTAATGGTGCAATTCACTGACGCTATTCTTTAGGCTCTGAAGAGGTCGCTTGTTATTCGCTTAACCCGCTGGCAAGAGTTCCGGCGTCACATTGCTTTACGATGCAAGGTTGTATTCCAGTACCATCTTTCCAATCGTGGGTACTTTGGAAAGATTCTGTTTGACCATGCCAACCAAACGCTCCAGCTGAAGGTATGTCTCTTTGTATACGAATGACCTACGGCTTACGTCCTGTAATCAGGTTCAAACCGATGATCAGATGGCTACGCAAGGGAGGGACAAAGATCCCCGGTCACTGAGTGGCGGGGAGAAATCATTCTCGACGATCTGTTTATTACTCTCACTTTGGGATGCGATCGGCTGCCCTCTTCGCTGCCTAGGTCAGTGCACACATGCAGATACACTCCTCTTTCTGACCGTCTTTAGATGAGTTCGACGTTTTCATGGATGCTGTCAATCGCCGCATCAGTATGAAGATGATGATCGACACCGCCAATGCTTCGGACAAGAAACAGTATATCCTGATCACGCCCCAAGATATGGGCAACATCCACGTCGGCCAGACAGTCCGTGTCCATCGGATGAGCGATCCTGAGCGCGGGCAGGGCATTCTGGCATTTACTTAACCCTGTTGGCTCTCGTGTTTTATCTGGTCTCGACAGGTCGTAGATGTATTCAGATGATACATTATTCCTCGCCATTTTTGGTCGTGCTTTTCGAGTACTACACTAACGCTCCAGCACCTAAATATTATGATAAGACGCAGTGGTAGTGCCAGTGCTAATATATACGAGCAGCCATTCTTTGACTGTCACTCATTTAGCCTCGTGATGGAGCGATGAGCAGTGACTATCCCATGTTGTCCTATGGGCATCGAACATGGAGCGTTTAATCCCACGGAATCAATTCGTGCACGTGCGTGCCTATTGTCTCCTTTTCAATCTCAGCTGCCCATATCTCTCCTCCTTTTCGTCTACCATCATATCACGTACATTCAAGCTTAATTTAAGCTTCAAGCCTGAGGCCTGATATTAATATTGAATCGTAGCGGTGCGTGCGCACCAAGTCCCTGACTTCCGTTTTTGTATTTCCTACTCCCACGATAGGGACTCTCGCAATAACACGTCGACAATTGTTGTACTAGGGGCCGTCGTTGCCGACTAATAACCTTGCACCGGTTGCTCATGTCACCGTCATCGCAAACTATCAACAGCGCACCGCAATTTAAATCTTTATGCTGGGGTGTCAGACGGTCGCAATGGTCACATGAATGTGTTATGTTTTATCACAGGATGAGCTTCGCCGGTCCTTGCAAATCATTCAACATTCTGGACTGAACATAGTAGCATGCGAACACGTTAGGTACCACTTTGCTAAGAGGTGTGGATGTAATAGGTGAGCCAGCAATCGTGTATTACCTCAGAAGCCCTCATTCACAAACTCGGCCAAAGCCAGTGCCAACACTTCATCGTCAATGAATAGGACACTGTGGTCATGATACACGGCAATCTCCACGACCACTGAAGGAGGGTTAAGCATCAGCCGTCAACGCAGGGGCAAGTCAGGAGGACACGCACAGGCCAGCCTCCGCATATCTAGACACTGTCTGGCCACTGCAGACAAGTTCAGAAAATCAACATCCAACATCCGTTCCCAGTAGCATTCACAGTTTCTCTGCAGACCCACAATGCGGTATGACTGCCGGCCACATCTTTCAGCTGCGAACTTCTTAGGGTGGCTGCCTACACATACCATCACGCGACTTACCTGACAAGAACATTCCTGGGCGCATGCAGTCGTCGTGGGACATAATGGGTGTGTAGTTTTCTGCCTCACCTACAGCTTATATGTGAGATATGCCCGACTGTCATCCGTCAGTGACCTGTAGTCTTCTCCAAATCGTCACTGCTAGCCTTATCATCCCCAGCCTTTTTTCTTATCTTTCCGTGACACGCTCAACCTCTTGTTTTTTTTTTGACAGGCTAGTGTTCTATGCCAGCAGCGTCTGTCCTGTAAGAAAGTGAGACATGTCGATCACTCACCCCTGTTTATGCAGCCACCTATGTCCGGCCGGAGCCCAAGTGATGTACTGTTGCAAGCAAGCCCCCCCCCCCTTCGATTGTCTCTGGATTTGCTGCAGTAGCCCATGCCTCACAACTTGCACGAGAGCTCACGCATTCACTTTTCCTTGCGCATTCAAGGTGTTCAAATCCTCATGAGCACCGTGACCTCTGCCATAAGCGAGGTAGCTGAGATCTTCGACGGACGTGGTGCCTTTATTTATGGTAAGCCTTCAACCAAGCATAGAAACTGATAGACTTAAGACAACAAGTCCAAAGGCAAGGTCGTGCCAGCCCGGCTTTTGATATAGTTGCTGCCAGTGAAGTCAGAACCTTTGGCACCCCATACCACCGACGCCCGACGACTGGAATCTTCCTGGTCATGGATGACTTCAATGGCAATGACTCACTGCTCACTCGTTTGTCTCTCCACCCACCCTGTTATTTCCCTGCTGACCGCAAGCAGGCACCATCCGTACGATTGCATTTGATACCCAAGTTGTAACTGTCTACACGGAGAGTGTTCAGTTGGCCCAATACCTTGCATCGGAGGCGAGCAGGCTGTGTGAAGTCCACCCAATCAGCGGGACCTCCTAGATAGTGCCCGGTCTGATAGGTGCCCAAGCAGTGTCATATAATATAGACATTGTCGATCACACCACTCCCCGAATACAAGCTCTTTTCTGTGTTTTCTCAAAGCCAGGGCATGACACACATCACAATCCAATCAGAACTGATGCGCACAATGAAGGGTATACGTCTCCTGTCATTTCACATTACATACACGTCATTCGAGTCAAAGTGGTAGTAAAACTGAGAAGGGTGTTCGAGACTTTAAGCTGTTGAAGCTACCGAAGAAATCAAGACATGGTACAACCAACCTCGCGTTGTTATGTGATACACTGGGGGGTAGAGCCATGTTGAAGGCACAACACCAGAGTCAGCAGCGATCAGAGATCTTCCATCTCCTTGTCTTCACTGGTGATGCCAGAAGGCCTCTTGACAGGTGAGGGACTGCCAAGATCCTCTGATGCCTTCCTCTTGCCTTTAGCAAGCATCCGCGCCATCGTGTATTCCATGGATGGCAGCAGCTGCATCCGGCGAAGGATAAGCTGGTAATTGTGAGAACCATATCTCTCGCGTTCGGTCGCTTCGTCCTTGTCGCTCTTCCCGATATTCCACCTGCATCATGTACTTAGTCAATGTTGCACAAAACAGGTGAGATGATACACCATACAGCTTCAGGTACACCTCAACCTCGACAAAGCGGGCCCGGGCCAACTTTATGCCATACTCCCTAGGGTGGATTAACAATCCCTTGTCGTCCCGCACCTCGGGGCACTCCACTTTAGTTTCTTTAAGTGAGCCAAGGCCTGAATAGCGATTGTCTGGGTCATGCAGGTCGCGGATGCGCAGGAACTCTGGCAATACCATCAGCAAGCCAAATAACTTGAACATTGTTAGTGCCAAATTACCTCCGTGGTTGCTAGTGTTCGCCGCACGGGAGCTCCTCGCAGCTGCTGAAGCCTGTGCAAGCTGCTTGGCCTTGCCTTGGTTGGCCCATCTCATTAGCTCCTATAGATCGTGGTAGGTAGGTACTCACTCGGACTTAGCAGCACACCCGATTCTTTCAAATACAATTAGATTTGGATCAGGAACAAGCAAGCAAAGGGTAGTACTCACTGCCAATGTCTTGACGTGAAATTCTGGGTACAGCAGTCCCCTCCTTAGGCAAGTCTTTGAATAGCGGCTCGGATTGGACCACAAGCACAAAGCAATCCTTTGATTCACGAGTATACGCACGTACAAAGCCAGACATTGCAGGGTGTTCAGCCTCTGGAATGCCTGCACTGCAGTGAGTGATTGGTCATTCAGACATAGCGTTTACTCACCAGCATTACGCGTGTCTTCAATATCTGTAGTCAGTGCAGACAAAGTATCCAGCACCCTACACGACATCTCTAGAGCTTCTTGGGGATAATCCCCACTGTCTTCATCCTCTGGCGCTAGGAAGTGGAGTTCAAACTGCGCTCGTGTTTTCCTGAGGCTGGCCACATCGATCTGACCAGACACGGAAGTACTGTGTCAGTGAACGTCAACCCTCAAATGCAACACACACCCCAGAGTCAAACAAGTTAAAATATGGGCCAAGCCGACTGTATTGGCCATGGAAGTCAAGCCTCGCCACAAATTTCATGTGCAAGAGATCACCGGACCCGTTCACCCAATATTCTGCCTTGTCCCCCATGAGTCGTCGCAGGGGGCGTGGGTTGTTCTGTACAGGGATATTCTCCTCACTGCAAGCATCTGCTGTGAAAGCACCACGCGACAGGGCACTTCCAAGCAGGGAGACATACAGGGGTGACTTCGCCTCTTCAATTTCGTCCTCGGATGGTACTGCAGGCATGCCCGCCTCAGTGTCTGCTGAAGCAATGGCTACTTTGCGCTGATGGGCTGAGCGTCTTGCAGATGTCATTATGGGAGTGCAAGGCAGAAGAGCAGGAGTAGGACCAAACGACAATGTTTATCTTACAAATTTATTAGTGGCACTAGCCATCTTGCCAGGAACCTGATCAAATGCCATGATTGCGGTCCTCGGCCCCTGGTGTTGAAATTATAACCCAGCAGCGTCAGAAACTGAAACTTTGCGGAGCAGAAAAATAATTTGAGTCATTGACTAACCTGGCAGTCCAGTCACTGAATGATTGAGTACCCCTTGAACCCAGTGGAATTCTAACGTGATTTGACCTCCCAGCCCTTTGATCCATACTCCAGATGTCGCACGCAATGTGTCATCTACCCGGTATATTCCTTGTGCTAGGTCAGTCAGTGTTCATATCCCCCATGATATCGTGTCTGAAGGACTTTGAAGTTCAGAGCAACACACCTACACCACGTTTCTCTACTTATCACAATTGCACTTGTGTTGCACATGGCACTATCCAGTATCCAATCGTTGACCTATCAGACTTCATCCGTCGTTGGCAAGACCGCACAAAGATGAAAGGTTCGTTCAAAGTAGGCTTCTTGTGGGGCACCCTGTTTATCTATCCGACCAGACTTCATATCATTTCTTGTTCAAGAGGGCATCATCGTATTCTTCATAGATGACGAAGAGGAAGCTTATGCTCTGAACGACTCTTTTCATGATGAGTGAGGCCAAAACTGCTGAGATAAATATCATACGTTGTACATCCTCATGGACAGTTGCTATACTATAATGGTGCAGCCAATGCTATCAGGTTGTATGGCTCAGCGAGACAAATTTAGACCCACACACCTTCAATCGGGGATGGTTCAGTGTAAGTGCATGTAAGGGCACATGAGCTGCCTTCCCAACCATGATTCCAAATGCTGTGCCAAATAGTGCTTTCAAAGTACGTAGCTGGCATTTTGCGTCAAGGGCTGGCAAAAATGAGCAAGATATACATATACATAGGTTGGTTAACGGAAACGCGAGAACCAGGTCTCTGCTCAATCCAGCATGTCAGTCACATGACCCTGACACGATGTCGCATTTCACAGAGCATGTTGATTCCCTCCTTTGCCTGATTGTACTCATTTCATCCACCACCCAACCCATTCTGTTGTCTAGGCCACATGTAAATTATTTTTAAAATACGATAACTCTCAAATGCAAGAATGGAAGCAAGCAGTTTCAAAGGCATGATCCGAACCACCTTCACGCTTCAACTCTGTATCCCTTTCCTTTATTTGTCATCACAGACCCCATGGACTTAGTAAGTAGGGCAGACAGATACGGTCAGAGTTTCAGAATCCAACGTCAATCGATCAGCAAGGGTTTTCAGACTCAACACAAGTATCCAGCCCATCATTGACATGTGAATTCAGCACATCGCCTTGGTATGCCAGGAACATCGGCACACACTTAATCACGGTATTTGCATTGTGCCATAGTACCTGTAGGCATCTCAGTTGCCTGGGCCCTGTCCTTCCAGCTTAGTATGGTCATGGTCATGGCGTCTGGTGAGCTCCTGTCCTCACACATTAGGATAGGCATCTGATGGTTTGCGGCAAATTCAGTGATCCAACTTGGAAGGCGAATCCATATGCACCTGAGTGCAGCAGGCGCCTTACTGACTCAAGGCAGTGCTGGACCTGTGTCCGAAGAGCTACCATCTCCACAACCTTTGCATACCCCGGCTGGTGTTGCCATGAGTAAGTCGCACATGGACCCTGATCTATGCAGCTCACCTGACCCAGTTGATCCAGCTCTGAGCACGCCATCCCTTGTCCAGGAAATCTATGGATACCTCCCTCTGCTGACCGACATTCTTGCATGGAGGTCAAGCAGTCGCTTTACACGATCCATTGGGCAGTCCATTGCCGCACAGCGCTTCACACGAATCATCCATCCCTTCGTCGGCAACCATGCTGCTGAACTACGTTATCTGATGTATACCTGGGGCGCCGTCATCACTGGATCTTGTGCATTGCAGATGCTCACTGGAGGAGATGATGCACCAAACAACTTGAACATTGTGTGTCCATCGGGCAGCTTTGACGTGCTGCAAGGGTTTATACTGGACTCACTCAGTTATCGACGGGTGGATGCGGTCACACGATCCAACTATGCTTTCCGTGCAGTTGTGAGAGCATTTGCAAAGTATCAGCGTGGACCACTGCGTATCACACTGTGCGAGGCCATCAGCGATGACATATTTGATATCATCACCAGCTCACCGACCACAGGGGACATGCTCATCATGACTCCAGGCAGCGTTGTGGCATTCTACCCTGAATGGACGTTGAACGGGGTTGCAGTACTCAATCACGTGGTGACCAGTCACATTCCAGGTAAGAATGTAGGGTGCATCGAGAATGACCAGTACATCGTTTGGGAAAGCACAACATTCTTGCAGCAGCCGTGCAGAGACTTCTGCCCTGCGCTTTGGCGCAACATTGCAGACAGCAAAGGATGCACTCTGGTACTTGAGTGGGACAAGAGATATCCCATTCGGCCAGCCATGGCACGCTCCAACACTGCCTGGCGAATTGCAGAGCACTGCGCCAACCCCTTATGCCCATACAACCCTTTGACCAATGCTCGCCTTGCCCGGCTGCCTCCATTTTTGCCAGTCTCTGACCAGCTAACCGCCAGAGAGCAGGAAGCGCGGCTCCTTGACCACTACCCTGTTTGTGTTGGGTTTGCTCCTCCATTTTGCCTGTGCTGACACAACGAATCTACAGAGCTATGTGAAATGCTACACGGGAATGTTGTATGCTTCCGCAGCCTCAACACCTCTCCTTGTGCCAGTTCCTCTCAGGGATGGCGTGACGCAACTGAAGCACATCAACGAACTCGAAGTGCTGCATTGGGTGGACTGCCTGGGCGACAACAGGTTCAATGCCGACATGGCACGCACACGTAAGACCTTCAATGTCATCGCAAACACCTCTTCGCCTGCATGTGGGTATGGCTATACATTCTTCCGAGAACATCCTGCATTGTACCCACCACCAAACGCACTGATCTGGGACATCACCAGTGACTTGATGAGTCACAACAATGTCATTGGAAATGTGTTGGTCGTTAAACATGCTGCAGGCGACAAACACAACGTCATTGATCTCACGCTGCAGGACATCGAGACTATCAATTCTGTTATCAGACGGTGAGTCACAATGTTTCTCAATCACTCAAAACTGACATTCGCACCCCATACTCCAGTACAATAGACAACATGGAATTCTGGATGTGAAGGAGCACTGCCTCTGTACTGTCGTAATAGATGCGCATCCGAGCAATGTTGTACCAAGAGTCCGAGAGTCCAATGAAACACATCTCATTGAAAACCATACACAATTGTCTAACTTCTGGCGCCCATCACAACTCACAACTCACAAGCTATTGCACTGAGTTACTTGCAGTCGGCCATCACCCAAAGGGGAGACGACATAATACTCTTCGAGCAACCAGTGCAGTGCTTCCCTAGTCGATTGGATGAGCGCGAAACAGCAAGGATGAGCAGTCACATACTTGTATTCAAGGGGCGTGAGCTTGATGACATCCAACACTCGGTCATGCACCTCAGATGACAGAGCACCATATGGTGTGGTGTGCTGCAGTTCAGCGATGACTGAAAAAATGACAAGGACGCTGCATCTCAGCAGGTGATCCACATCATCTCTCTATGCATTCGTCAGATTTGCAAGCCTCCCATTAAGCCATCAAACAATTCCTACCGCTGCACCATGACATGGACACTGGCAGGCTCGACCATTGTGAACCGGTTGCTCAAAATGAATTGATCCGCCAATACATGGGTAAACATCTTCTGAGGCAATAACAGTAGTATTCTGTTGACCAAGGTAGGAGCAGGTACAAGGGTCGGGATCACATGTGCACAGCGGAGGTGGGCTCGGGCTCAATCGGTCTAGGAAGAATACTGGGGAGTGAGAAGAGTCGGCAGCGAGGTCTGCAACCCAAGAGGAGACACTCATGCGCTGGAGCTCAAATTCAATACCGGTGTGAGAGTTTTCGCCCATGGTTCAACTCCAAACACAAAGTATGGCAGTTGTGGTAGGTGATGGACTAGAATACAAAGAATGATGGCCCTCAGTTCCAATGGCATGGTCCCTCCTTCAGGCAGGTAACCCTGTACATCTAAAAAAGTGACACTTGCACGCTCTGGGCAGCCATGATCTTGATCCAGGCCAGCAGGAGCTCACCGATCCCAGCACAATCTGAAATTTTTGCATTTGTCATGCTGATCTCACCCATAGGCACCTGTCTCGCCTGTGCAGCAAAAACTGAGACTTTCCGACAAGCGGCCTTGAAGCCATTGGTCAGAAACTTGAGGACAAACAGCTTTTCCGAAAGGTGACAACGATCATACACATTTGCAGGACTGGGAGATCAACAACACGATCAGTATCAAACTTGGATAGGCACTTCCAAAAAGGTGGACTCAATATCACTGTCGTTTTCAGACAACATCTCTCTCAGGCAAACAAACCAGCCGAACTCCGGAACACTATCCAATTTCCTTCTAAACCTAAGACATTGTCTGCATGTTCTCAGGATATGGACACAGCTGATGCTGTCAGCACATAGATAAAATGACTTGGCACTCGACCATCTAGTGTCTGAATGTTACACAAGTCGGATGGTTGGTATTGGTCAAGACAGATAGGTGTACCGTTGTTCTGCCTACCATCATACTTCCACACCATCGCCGCAGTGACAAAGCATGTGCTGAAATGATACCCACCAATATACACCACTGCTTTTAATAAATAGCTCACACGCCTATTGTGGGTGCGTAGGAATAGTGAGCTTGGAAAGTGCACAGGAGGAGGTCTGTCAGACGACTCGGAAACATTCAGCTCGAAGAATAAGACAGGTGGTAGGTGAATCAAAGGCAAGAAAAACTCTGTGGGGTAGACATCTGAGGGACCCAAAATGTCATCAATCTCTGTATCTATCCCCTTGTGCCACGCCCACTCAAGCAGCCAACGTGGAAGTGGAAGTGTGGGGTAGGTGTCTGAATCACACAAGTGGTAAACATGTGTAGTGAGATGGTACTGATGCGATCGTCGAGACACCTCGGTGCCAACAGAACTGACAGCACGAAGTCTGTGAGGTATGACAACTTCCAGGATGGCTGAAACAGACGCACCAACACGCCCGTGACGGGGGAACTGCACGCCATCCAACTCACACAAGAGATCACGCAGAGAGTCCCGTCCATTGTTGAAGAGAACAGAACAAGCCGCATCAGACTCTGTGCGGGCAATATTAGCATACACCTGCAGGAGCACATCAGAAATTTCACCAAGGTCATGCCAGTCCAACCTGTCACGCGGTGTTGCATCTCGATATAAGTGAAACAGCAGTGTAAACACCGTATCATACGCACAAGACCAATCAGCGTCTGACCAAGTGCACTCAGTCCCAAGCATCAGTGAGGCAAGATGACTGTCTGAGGAAGAAATGATAGTGCCTATGGTAAGATCATTCGTGGAAGCCTCCACCCGGGGACGCTTGTGGGCACCATGGGACCTGTCATGTTTGGATTCAGTGTTTGACACGACTGCGTGCATCAGGGACTTGTCATCTTTCTTCCGTTTCTTGGACTGTGGATGGTCCTGTTGAAAACTGGCTGTGTACAACACAGATGAGATGTTCATATCTGATTCGACATCAGGCACTGGAACGAACCCTCCAGTATGCAAACCATGACGGACATAAGTGTTTACCTCGAGAGCTTCGAGACGATGGACTTCATGCAGCAGATCAGCAGGCAACGGTTTGTTCAGCTGGTCAAGACTCACAACTTGTGAAATGCACAGACCAGTACGTGACTGTGCCCGTGATGCAGCTACATATGCCCCGAAACCACCTTCATGCAAGTTCACTAGCACTGTAGGCAAAGTCTTACCCTGAGCAGAGTGACCTGTCACAGCAAAGGCAGGCTGAATAGGCAGCTGGTGGCGAGTAATGCGAAGTTTCCAATCCAGTCCATTCTCATCCTTGAGGAGAGATGTGAAAGTCCATGAGACAGGAACAACAGGGAAATATGTGGCCGGCAAGTCACTGAGCTGTACCTTGGATCCAGGGAACTCCACAACGACACATTTTGCATATGTAAGCCCAACAGGACAGACCGCTGTTGAGATGTAGCGCACAACCCCTTGGGAACCATTGGTAATCCGGAGGTCTGTGGAAATGTTGCGCAACCTCAGGATAACTGGCATTCCAACATAGAGAGGTATAACTCCAGGTAAAGAATTTGATGCCTTGACAGAGCTGAAATCCATTTGAAGCAGCTGCTGGCGGTCATCAAAGTTAAGACTCTCATGTGAGCATTTGTCCAGAGCATTGATGTGAACCAAAGCCTCAGCAGCACAGGACGCCTCAGCCTTTTTTGCATTTAACACCTGGCGAAGTGCATTTGTTGTTACAATGGCAGCTGCCGAGCGGTATGTTCCCTCACCCATGTCGACACCACTTGGGTTGTCAGCCGATATTATGAGTCGGGCATTAAAAAGATCAACATCTTCATACGTGCACTGCCGGACTCTCAGCCGACAAACAGCATCCCCATACTCTGGGTCAGATTTCATCCGCTGTTGCTCACTGAGGCTGACCACAGTATTTATTGTTTTCCAAGCCAGACGCCCCAGTCTTTTCAGAATTTCATCATCAGTCTGACCTGCATACCGGGAGATAGGTGTGTATAGGGCACTCCCCCCAACTGGTGGATATTGATAGAAATCACCAGAGAAAATGATGACAACTCCACCAAACCACAGGTCAGGTTTTTCCTTCGTGAACCGTAGTGCATGATCAATTTCAGACAAGAGCTGTAGGCTGAGCAAGGAAGCCTCATCAACCAGTACATACTCCACATTGCGCCATTCATCTCGCAACTGGGTCTTACTTTGAATGCTGATGATAACAGAATAGTCTTGGCTACTCTCACCAGGGATGCGATTACCTTTACCTTTGGAGTTAGACTTGATCTTGATGCCAAGACCCTTGTGCACCGTCATTCCATCAATGAGTGCCGCTGCGGAACCAGTCGGTGCCAAGAAACGAATGATGTGACCATAGCCATAGTACTCCATGACTGCTCGGACAGCCTTTACAACGTGAGTCTTACCAGTGCCACCTGGGCCTGTCATTAACATAGTGAGCGGCACAGTAGGATCATCCCGTCTCTCAATGAATTTGTGCACAAAGTGCTCTGCAATAATGCGGAATGCCACCCACTGCTTCTCATTAAGGTGATATTCGTTCCCGATTTTCATTATCACAGCAGCAGGATCCAAACCACCATTTCGGTTCGCAACATGTTCGGTGTCCTTGGCTTCTGAAATGGGGAGTGCATTGACATGCAGCCCACTCGTGCAAGTACTAGTCGGGAGAGCATCGGTGCACATTTGTTCGTCAGGATTCAAGGCATTACGACGTGTAGCTGCGATGGAGGCTTCCTGTTCCTTGACCTCATCAGTCCAAGCCTTCAGACGTTTGGGGCTGCAATCTATCATTAGGTCGGGTGGATGACCTTCCACAGAAGACGACATAGGTGGAAGATCCTGGCAGGAAGATGTCTGACTACTTTCAAGCCATCGTGCCTGCATGAGAAGAAGCACAAACTGGTTCATGCGGAAATCCTGCAGACTACCCCTTGTTGCAGCTTTCAGCAGCACGAAGTCTGTCTCATCCACATCATCTTTTGCACCTGGTGCCATGGACTTCGTACTCGAGCGCGTGAGTTGTGCTTGTTTGCGCAGTCTATCTGCATCACGTTCATCCTCACACTCATGCACCGCTTCCCAGTGCCGCATAACTGTCCTAGCATGTTGTGAGAAGGTGTGCACCTCATACAGACGTTCAGCTGTAGTGTCCTCTGGAATGAGGGGAATGGTACTGGTGAATGGCTTGAAGTGAGCCAGTGCGAAGAGCGCCCATAACTTTCTATTGTTTGGTCGAGGGATTGACATACCAACCACTCTTGGGACTAACTCACGATTGCCCTCTCCACGTTCTCTGTTAGTGTGTTCCAACAGCTCATGGGTGGTACTGAGAGGGTGCCCTGATTTTAGCGAGTGCCTGCAGAGGACACCAAGACGTGACTCATGAGTGTTCTTCAGGTGCTTGCTTTTAGATTTGGGCTGCATCCGAATACACCGGCAGAAGTCATAGAAACACATGTCAGCCAAGGAGTCAGCACGATGGATGTAATGGTGCACTTGGTTTGTCTCCACTATTTGGCCTGCCCTGTCTGTTGTAATGCGAATACGTGTCTGTTCATAGGCCATGTCATCTTCACAGTCATCAGGATCTGACTCCAAGTCACAGTCGTCAGCAACTTGCAGCTGTCTTTCACCAGGGACAGTGCCCTTCACATACGACAACAACAGGGAAGAGATCATGGGCACGGTCTCATGTGATGGAATGCCATCGCCAAGACCTTGGAGGTAACGAGCCGCCTGCTGTGCATGTATTTGTTGCTGACCATTGAACTGTGACAAGCACTTGTGCAGCATATTCTTGGCATCATCAGAAAGGGTCGACTGCAGCTGACGCACAGGTAATCGTGCAACAGCCCGAGACAGCAAGGATAACATCTCATAGGTTTTTGTATCCATCTTTGTTATGTAATCGGAGATGTAGAACATCGCAGCTTTCGCGCCTTTTCCTGATAAAATACACTTGATGTCATGGTTATGTCGACAGAAAACCAGGATGTATGGATTAAAATAGTTGACGTTGGCATCTCTACACATGAAGACAACCGAATTTGTTTCAGGCTCAAAGTGCGAAGACTCTACAACCTCATGTGGAAAGAGGAAACGACATCTACCATCATTCCCATACTTGTGACAAACAGGACGACAACTGTGTCGTTGTAATGACTCACCACATCGCTTGATCTGGGTAGCAAACACGGAGGCCCACTCCTTGATCCCGGCAAGGGAGGGGTTACCTGCATCGACATCTAGGACAGTCGGTGGCCGAGGTGGTCGCTCGACACGAGGGTCAAACTTTGGATCGATCTCAACATCAACATCAGGCAGATGATGATGGATAATGTCATCAAAGAAGGCAAAGAACCGCTTCTGGTAGGCTTCATCATGGAGCATAATATGAATATCTGAAGGATTGGCCCCGCCATCTAGCCAAAGGAGGAAGTGGCCATGAAGAGACCCGCGCTCTGTGTATTCCGATGAACCGAAAAAAGCACGCAAATGGCCAAAAAGACCACCTGTGGGGCTCGAGCAATTCACTTTGAAGTCCCAACCCAGAAGATGCTCAAAGCAACATCTCCACGAAAATTCAAAAAAATCTGCTCCTGCAACTGGGTCCTGAGCCAACCGCAGGGCGCGTTCACGTGCAGAAACCAGACGAGGGAATCGAGCCGACAAGTCAACAGCGTGATCACCATACATCACCTGAAAGATGGGACTGTGGACGGCGCTCGGGTTAAACGTGAAGAACAAGTGCGGCAGTCCGAAATAACTAAAGTACCCTCGAATTTCGTTTCGCACATAGATCTTGGATGCCTGCGAACCAGGAATACGTGCTGACATGGTGTTAACCTGCCTCAGCAACTTCAAGGCCGATTTCTCCTCGGTACTCAACTGCGAATAATTGTGTTCCCGTTCCAACCGGAATGCGAGGTCATCTAAAACTTGAGCAGAAACCTGTGTGAGTTTGCGGGCAACATTATCAAAGTTTGATTTACGTACCGTGAAGAAGGTCTGCAAATGGGCAGCTCGGCGTTGAATCATGTTCAAGGCTACGAACAGGTATGAATGATGGTAACGGAACGACCGGTCAACCAGGGTTAAGTAGTAATGTGCTTGCACTTCAAATGAGAGAGCGGTGGGCCTCTGTGGATCTTCAAAGCCGCCGATGCCACAGGGAAACAGAGTAGGATACATACCAACCAGCAGATCTGGATTATGGTATTCAGTAATTGCTTGAGATCCTCTGTGAACAATAAGATCCGGCTGAGAGGTGGAACGCGAGAACAAATTACGGAGGGCAGCTGCAGTGAATGTACGCCCGCTGATTTTGTCACTCTCGGGATCTGAAACACCCATCTTCTCCAGCATAACTACTTGTTCAGTCCGTGCACCATCAATTTCATCAACATCCGGATCTTCACGCAGCAACTGTGCAGGATGAGCATCAAATCCAGCCGTCTCTTGCTCAAAAACCGTGCTGGCATCGAGGTCGTGGTCCTCAATCACACGATCTGATAGCCCTGGCAGAATGTCATCATCAGGGTACATGGAAATTATAGCTGAGTCCAGAGGGATCGCTGCATACAGACGGTTGTGATGCTTGAGCCACAGAAGAAAAGACCAGATCTTATGTTTACGCACACGAAAGACCGTGCCAAGCTGTTTGGCATCAAATTTACCTGGTCCAATGAAGACAATGCTGAGGAGGCCATTCACGTCAGATGGCGTGCGCGGAAGGACCGAAGCCGTGGATACAACGTTCATGTCATGTGCGCAAGTGTTTCCATGGAAGACCTTAGGCTGCGCAGGATCAGAGGACTGAAACAAGCGAGTCACATGAGCTGTGACACAATAGATCGCACACACCTTCTCCTCGACCCAAGATATATCCTGTAAATGCAGAGGAAGTTGCCCTCGATAGAGGTTATTAGCCAATGCAAACCGAGGGACCTTGTCAGGTTTCGACAATGACACGCGACACGAAGTACACAGAAACAAGTGCACGCAGTCGCTGCTGCAATCCACAATGCCGGCACGTTCAAGCATGAGACCATCAATAATCGGGCATTCGAACGAGAATGCAGTTGACAGACCCTGCACCACACACTTCTGGATGATGAACCGGTCTGTAACACGCAGAGTCTCGAGATGGAAAGTCGGAGCATCAGTCGCTGTCAAGGTCACAACCACAGAATCCCGTTGATAGCGACCACATACAGCACATACAGGAGGCTCAGACCACTCCGAAGCTTGATAATAGTTGTTGAGACAAGAGTAGACAGTCTTTTGGGAGACAACAACCGGCCATGCACGACGATACTCCTGTGCCAAACGCTCATCCTCAACGACCCGCAAATGTTTGTCCTCACGTCGCTGTAACTTCCGTTGTTCAGTTTTAGTTAAGAGCTCACGGGACAGACATTGTATGACATCAGCGCCATACTCACATTCAAGAATGGCTGAAATGTAATGATCGCCCGGCAAATCACTAGGAATAAGAAAAGGAAAGTATGAAAGCCATATATCACCCAGCACACCAGCATCCACAGCCTGCAAATACATTGCACGTTCACGGACGTGGCAAGCCAGACCATTACTGGTCTTAGTACGTGACCGGGTGTTTAACACAGGCCGACCATCGAAAGGCAGACAGCGGATGCACTGCGATAGCACGTCGACAGACAGAGTGCACAGCCGACGGGTGAGAGACTCAATGGAAAGGACAGACCATGGAACACGCGAACAATCCAGGTTGTCGCATGCATAACAGCCTGGTGGGGGGCGCCGCAGCACCTCAGCGACTTGATCACCATACATGCGGGCAAAGTGTGCAGACAGGAGAGGAACCAATCGGCGGTCGCAGCCAGAAGGAAGGACAACATCTGAGAGAGCTTCGTCGATGGCTGAGCGAGGCAAAGCAATCAATACAGCACGAGCCTGAACAAAGTGTCCTACGATAACATTAACATGATCAGCCTTTTTCCGGCCCCTTCCACCAGAGGGAAGCAACCGGGCAGCATCGGCAAGCACAGGCCCGAGGAGACCCGACAGGCGATTCGCAATAGTCTGCTCACTCTGACTGAACCAAGCTGGATACTGATCTGACTTTGACACAAGGGTGGAAACAGCCGCATTCCGAGCACGAGATAACCAGTGCAGTATCACACAGTGGCGATATCCGGATGCCTCGAACTGATGCAAAGACACGGATATGGAGGCTAAGGAATGCGCAACGACAATCGAGATGCCGTCAAACGCAACACAACCGCGAAACACAACAGAACAAGCACGGCACTGATGGTGGTGAGAGGTAAGCGAATTGAACAGCCACAAGCAAAAGTTTTGGGGGGTGTCAAAGTGATGGGTGTGATATTGCGGGTAATAGAGTGCATCATAGTATACAGGATAATCATTTATATCATGGGGGATCAAAGGCGGTGGGCAGTCGCGCTCGTCGACCACCCGAGCCGCACGGCATGGAGCCTTCGTGACAAACGGCCTGCGAAAGCTTCAGTTCGCAAATGAGAAACAAGACATGCTCAACTCACATTCCAGGGGGGCACACAGACGACTGATAACGCACGGAATAGAGGCAAGCTGAGTGTAAACCAAGAGTGGGCGCTCGTTCAAAAAGCGGTGGTTCGGGAGTAACCGCGGTAGAAACCGGAAATCTCGAAAGGTCAGGTCGTCCGACTGTCCGTGCCGGGTCCGCCTGCCCTGGACATCCTGGACGTCCTGAATGAACAGGTCAGCAAATTGCCAATATTCGGATGTTCCCGGAAAACATCCTGGTAACCATCAATATCATTGCAGATACGAAAACCATGACAAGCGCTGAGAATCCTGAGATCACGTACGAGACCACGACATGTGCGCAAAGAGGAAAGAACCCTTCACAACCCAGATGGTCAAAATGGAAAGGGCATCCCGTTCCGTTGAAGGGACGTTCTTGAGGTTGTAGGATACATTGAAACAAAAACGGCATTCGTGGGAACGGACGCCGTGGTTAACTTCTCGAGCTTCTTTTTTAACACTACTGCCATGTTTATCGGATGCGAATCACTGAGGCCCAGGCTGCGCGCTGAGCGGATCGAGCATTTGGCAAAGGTATATAAGATATCTGTGTGTGACGAGACCTTTTCTTACTCTGTGATCCCTTCCTAGCTTCTCAGGCCTGAAAAGGCGCGCTGACCGTGCGCGGTTTGCTTTCTATAGACCTGACCGTGGTCTTGCAAGCCCCGCAGTCGCGACGGAGGAATCACATCGACTTTATTTGGCATCTGACTCGGATGGCCTCGTCTACGTGTAACCATCTATGCTGAGTTACGGGATGTGTTCTGGATTGATTGGTCGATCGCAAGGTGCGACCGCATGGACTTTCCTTGGCCTTTTTTCTGGACGTTTCAGTCTTCGTTCGTACCGTGAAACCAATTTGCGTGACTCTCCTGTCTATGCACCACCTGTGCTCGAACAGCCATACGCACGAACACCCTGGTCTATCAGGTCCTGGAGATCGTATAGAGGATCGCGAAGCTCCATGATTCCATCGCAGACGTCTTGCATGAGCATGCCCAAAGGGACAACGATCCTAGATCCGGTACGATGATTGGAGGTATGTTTCACGAGCTTGATGCAGCACGCGGGCCAGAGAGAACAGCTTGGAACGATGACAGTTTGGAGAGCCTGAAGGGCCGAGCGGGCGCGTTTTGAGTCCTTTGTGAGCAGGCAGGAAGGAGAGGTGGACCATAAATGGATGACGAAAAGTAGTACTAGGATGATAACAATGAGGATTGATTCGAGAGTCTTGCAGTTCCAAGGATCGTAGGACTTGATGAAATCGATGGTCCGGCCGATGAGCAAAAAATGAATTCGCTGAAAGTATTTAAGGTACGCGTCGTACAATCTGCCGAACTGTTCAGGAAGAGAAAAGACGTGGAGGACGTGGATTGATTATGTAGAACAGCATTGCACGCAAGCACGAAATGATACGTAGATCAAAACAACAGTGAGAACAGCATAAACACATACAATCGAAACCAAGACCTCAACATGTCTAGCACGTTTGGACATTCAATCATTCTTCATCGTCGTCATCATGGTGCGCCCCAGGCCTGAACAACGCCAACAAATCATCCATGCCGAGTTTCGTATTCATCATCTGCTCTCCACTCAACGCCGCTTTCGTAAGCCCGCGGTTTTTCTGTTGAAGCTATATAGCGCAAGTCTTTGATTGACACAGAAAAAATTGCGATTGGCCAGGATAGAACGTTTGACTGGTTCCCTCCAACCGTGAGAACTCAAGCGACAGCGGAATCGTGGGAATCTGATGCAAGATCGTTTGCAGAGAAAGGGCCAATTGAGTACTACAGAACCTGACTTAGGAAGTCAGGGATAGGCTTCCGCTCGATATTTGCACCATCACGATGGTGTTCTATCATTTACTCCCGCCCATTCAGGTACTCAGGTCCAAGTAGTGCTCACAATCTTATTCCGAGTCAGACACAGGTTTCGGTTCTTCTACAAATAATCCCTGCTGACGAAACACAACGCCGCCGGCTCCGAGCGCAGTTGGGCATAGTCCTGTGCTATAAGCCGTTCAACTTCGTAGCCCACAGCATCCATAGAAATGGTAACCTATAAATGATATCCCAATAGATCCCACTTCGAACCAAACATAACGATGAACTTATTTGCCATCCCCTCTCCATCAAGTCTCTGGACAACCGTACGTTCGGGTGGCGCATTTGACGTTGCTTGTAACTTATGAGATCCGATTGACGGGGCATTTTTGGACCTGCCACGATTGCGGCAGATACGGCAGCGTCAAAATAGCTACGCCCAATTTGGTGACGTAGTCCAAGCACTGCAACTCGACACCAAACGGCGGTCTGAGTGAACTGACCTGTCGTCGACGAGAGATGTAACAATATGAAGACCTGCAGATGTTCCTCCCAAGTTCAATGCGCTTCTTTAATCTTAGAGGCCCAGAACACTGCAGGCTGTGCGATAACGGGAATCATTTAAAAGAAGCAACACCGACAATTCATTTGATTGGGCTATTAATTGTATGCCGGGAGCAGCAATTGGTAGTCCACCCATAGCGTACACCGTATTCACATCCTGACATGTTGCACCCACACTTTAAAGCCACTCGCCAAACAAAATTACCAGGGCTTGGGTATAAATCTGGGCCATCGGCGAACTTAAACCCCACACACCTCCGACCTTGCTCAGTCAACCCTGGTTAGCACAATCCAGCGCCGTTCCAACTGCAACTTACCAAATCCCGTAGCCATATTGTAATATGCCTGTACCAGTCATTTACTATAACGTCGAAGTCATCCAATTCTGGCAAGGGCAGAAAGAACCCCTACAGCCCTACCCACTTCACTGGGTGATTTACATCCCAACCGCTCCCGGTATCGGGAACACATACCACATACTAGGAAACATGGATACCTACACCATAGATTTCAGACGCAACCAACCATACCCAAACCCAGATGCATGGCGCGGAAGCTTCGCCGTTGGAAAAGTAGCTGCGCATCAGCTAACCCTGATGGAGCGACACCTGGCAAGCATTCCTATCGCGCGTCACGACCCCAGATGGAACTGCCAAAGCTGGGTGTGGGAGGGTCTCAGGCATCTTCGACACCAAGGTTTTAATATTAGCTGGGAGATCAGGCTTTCAGATCTTCAAACGCAGATGTACTGCTTGCTGGAGGATTGGGAATACGGCCGAATTTAAAGAGGGCGGGGATCTGGGGTGAGAGGGGTTTGTGGATGGTCGATCGAAATGTTTGATGGTGCTCGGAGTGGCAACGCTCACCCTAAAGTTAAGACCTCAGCATCTGCATTCTATGTTTGTATTAACACCGGCATCATAGACATCGCGAGTGAACTTTATTGTCTTGATCGAAAGAGAGAGTATCCTCACCGATCAAGTTCTGTGGCGCTGACAGACCGAAGCGGAGTCTTGTGCCACACCGCGAGACGTGCTATGACTTTCAATCCCTCGCATTAGGAGAGATGCGACTTGCATCGCCCATGTGGAACAGTATGAAGGAGATGTTGTACTGATCAGTGAGCAGTACTTCAGGATCTGATGTGCGCTTTGCAGAAGGGACGACCGTCTGCCATCTATTGGTCTGTCTATGGGGTACTAAGTTGAGCCTTGCCAACTAGATGCGACAAAAATAACGGCTGCACACGAGTGAAACAGGACCCTTTGGACTCATGAATCAGAAGCACTGTGAACCTAACTATGCAGTTAGATGGCATGCGTGTACGACGAAATGAGAACGCACAGAAAAGACCATGAGGAAGAACGGTCTGAAATGATCGAATATCTCAGTGAAGAAGTACCACCAAAGACAGGGTTAGGCGTGAGGTCTAGTAGCGCGAGGCTGGGATGCTGTGTTTATGAACCATCTGTCAGGGATTAGAAGTCGACTTACGTTGCGCCCCACGACGCCCTGACCCAACTCCAGCTTCCTCCCGCAATAATGCATGCCGCGCCTACAAGGGGAGCCAGTAAGCGCCCATGCTCCCACAGCATCAGATATAGCCCATATAATTGGGAGTGGAGGTACTATGGTTGAAAATAAGGAGAGTAGGAGAGGGGACTATGGCGCAGATGGTCAGCCCATAACATTTGGTCCACTGGAATGTCATACATGGTGAAAAGATCCTCCTGTGTATGGATCGATATTATTATCGAGAAGCCAAAGACCTTCTTTCACTGGAATTCTATTGGCGTAGAATCACTTGGCTGGCAGTACTTTGGCACATACAGCGAAGGTAGGAGGTCAATGGCGAGCTGAGTTGATGGTCATGTTTGAGGAGATTTTGACCTGAAAGAGGTAGGGCTGCGAACAGAAGGCGAAGACATACCAGAAATGAAAACGCTGGGTGGCAGTGTGGCAGTGCTCGACCTGGCAGGCAGGGTACAGCAGGCCATGGTTCGATTGGATGCTGCAGCTTCGCCATACTATTATCTGATGGTATATAATCTCCTCTTCACCACGATTCCGCCTCTTCCAGCTTCCAAAGTCATCGCACACTAACATCGCATCCCCCATGTATTATTCAACTCGTCCTCGATGGGATATCCCTGATCCCAACACCTTCCCTCCAGCTTTGCACAATACTCGCTACAATGGGTGGCCCAAACCTCCAATACAGCTTCCTCATGTCGCTGCGCCTTCGTTCAAGAAACCCGCCGAACGGCACGTCACATTTGACCTCAACACCCCGTCAAACCGTCGTCCCGTTGGCGGTAACACCATTCATACCCGTAAGCAACTATTCATGTTCTACATGTGGCTATCTGTCTCAACCGTTATCAGAACCTTACTCGATGCATCTTCAACATGACACTCACTCACGCGCGAATTCTGGGGCGCAAGGTATTTTCTCCCTCCTTCGTTTTACTCTAAACCCATTTTTTCTGTAGGTATCATGTGGCCAGTTGAATACCAATCCTATGACGTTTCAAACTCGTGCACGTGGAACGGTATGTTCCTGTCATTGATTCCGGTTATCATACAATCTGACTCGATAAAGGTGGCGCTCACCAGAATCCATCTCTCCAAGGTGTTTTTGAGACGCATACTGCAGCTCGACACCACAAAGAGAATGCAGCGATTAAACGTGAGCGTCCCCGTTCGTTTAGTTACGACTGCCAAGATGTTGAATGGCGTACTTTCCTAGATGACCCTGTACGACGAACAAATAATTTAATCCCACTGATCGATAAGGACACACAAATCGGTGCGGTCCAGACCCAGCTTGTAATCATGATTGCATTGATCTTGATGCCTTCCATCAGCCTACCTCCTCGCAGCACCATGCGCGCAACTGGTATACGATTGGCGATACCCACCCTCTCTCTATTTTCCACCATCATCTTCATATGCAGGATGGGGATCTGAGCGAGTACTCACGCTAGCACCGCACAACCGAATACGACTGATCAGCCAAGACTTTCCCTGGATATTCAACATCAGCCCTGAACCCAGTGCTGCAGAACAGGGTATAACGTGTTTCCATTTCCCCAATCCGCTGCATGCTGCATTGCAACGTCCACCATCAGATACAGAGTGGGGAGCCGCTGCGCAGGACAAACAAGTGAGCCTCATCAGAGCGCGCGATCGTCGGCTAAATATGAAACCTGCTTTGTGGCTCCAATCTGGATATGATGCAGATGCACAACCTGCGCGACGAGAGCCTCTAATACTCCGTGTAGACTGACTTGGGTATCGTGTTGCGTTTGGGGGGTTCGTCAAGGATGAGGCGTTTGCGAGGTGACTCATTCCGCGTGCGGGAGAGCCATCTGAGACATGGGTTGTGAGGTTCAAGAGCCTATCATAATAAGCATGCCTGGATGAAATGTACATACCTTTTATGTATCGGTTTTCGAGGTTTCGAGACATGAAATTGGTTCTGCGCGTCACAGGGGCTATTGCGCCTCAGACATGTACCGAAAGTTTGCATCGCTATATACACGAGCCTTGGCTAGCATATATGACTTGACGGACATAGCGTATTCTATGACTAAACGTAGCTACCTATATGGACTCGATAAAATCTGGCCATGTCAACGAAAGTAGTATTGGCCAGTCGTATGTGTTTGGTTCGCAGGGCCCAAGGGTCTAGACTGCAAGAATCGCACTCTACCATTACATGTATCCCCCTTATAGTTACACCTTCGTTTGTTGAAGGCTGGTCATGAGTCCGTTTAACGGCTATCGCAGCCTGCCCTTATCGCAAGGGCACAGACCATTTACTCCAGTCGAAATAGCTTAAAAGGAAAAGGTCCTACGTAGAACTAGAAGTACAATTAGCGGTCGGGGCAGCGTTCAAGCCCCCTGATGAGATCTTTCGCAGGATCGAAACCCCTGCCCTCCGCTTTACTAACCCTTCCCTCCCGTTGCTAGCGCAGCACGCGTGCACAGGGGTGGTCTGCCTAGTACACTACTAGTCGTAGACTAAGATCTATTGCCCACCTTGCGGGCAGAGGCCTCGTTCCTCGGCCCCCTTCTCAGAGGGCCTAGATCGCCCAGATTCGTCTGATAAATTCGTGCCACATTCAATACAATTGCACTAGTTTTGTGCACTGAAATTGCAATATTTATAATACAGTTCCACATATGCTGGGTTTGCGAAAATAGTCATCTTGGAAGAGTGCGTTGATCAACCGAACGACGGTTATGAAATGGGTATCGAGGGAATCATCAATCCGCCAGCTTCTTCCCTTCGTCCTTGAAGATCTTGAGGTCATTCTGCCATGGCTCCCATACTTGTCCATATTTCTCGAGCAGTCCCGCCAACTCCTTTCGTTGTTCTCTCTGTAACCAAAATGAGTACGCGCCACTGATGAATCCAGCTATGCTCACTATATTCCAAGGCTCTTCTGCGTATACATCACTGAACAACTCTGCCAGGTCAGGTTTCTTAAGAGTCTCCGCGCGCTTGAACGATGCGAGCACATCCTGTTTCAAACGAGACTTGAGCTCTTCCTCTTCTGTCTTATCCCACCATCCCCGGGATTCCATGAATAAGCGGAAACGCGTGATGGGGTTGTCAATCTTCTTTCTGTCCTCGACTTCCTGGCGTCCCCTATACGCAAACGAGTCGTCTGACGTCGAGTGATGGCCAACCCTATAGGTCATCATCTCGACCAAGACTGCCCGACCACCTTCTAAGCACCGCCTCCGTCCTTCCTTAACAGCGTTCATTACTGCAAGCACGTCGTTTCCATCTACACGAACAGTATCGATACCATAACCTGCGAAGAAAATTCAATCACTGTGATACAAACACGCAACTTGTGATGAGGTTACCTGGACCTCTTGCGCTCAGAGAATCGCCATAATATTGTTGCGAGCTTGGGGTACTGATAGCGAAGCCGTTGTTGCGTGCCAGAAACAATGTCGGTGAAGGCAGTGTGGAAGCAAGGAGCATTCCAGCGTGGAAGTCCCCCTCGGACGCTGCCCCTTCCCCAAAAAATACGCAGGCCACATTTTTGGAGCGTCTCTCTGGGTCGCGTTTCAGTGCATAACCAACCCCAGCAGCTTGTGGTATTTGAGTTGCGAGTGGAGATGATATCTGGTGGAAATGATGTTGTGTGGAGCCGAAATGCTAACGGAGCGTTAGTGAATTCTGCGTAAGGAAGGGACAACGAGGCAAGGTAACATACTACGGGCATCTGGCGACCTTTGCCGGAATCTTCGTGGGTTCCAAAACACTGGGCCATGACACGGTCAAGAGTGAAGCCACGCCATAGAAGCACCCCAACTTCACGGTACTGTGCTGCACTTGGAGTTAGCAAAGATATAAATAATGAATGAATTCATCCGACCCAACACTCTGGAAACGTAGTTTGTTGTTAATTCGACCGAAATGACGGTTCTCAGGGAAACTTACTCGTCATCATCAGCCAGTGCAGCAGCAGAGCCAATCACAGCAGCCTCTTCTCCATACTTGATAAGGGTCAGCAATTATAATTCGTACTGCGTGGTCATTTATCTTACCGAAGTCATCTAAAGATTTGTCAGAGAAGATTCGAGATGCATCATTGGTTTGTGCACGTACATAGAAGGATATCTTGCCCTGGCGTTGGACATTGTAAAGTATATTATCCAGCGTCGGAAGCAACTGCATATTCTCATATCTAATTCAAGGCTGTGTAAGCTCCGATACTGAATTACTGCGAAGTCAACCTACAATCGTCGCGCGAACTGTTCACTGATCTGAATGAACTTGAATGTCAATTGGTCTGTCTGGTACGGAAGAAGGCACACATGCCTCGGGCACTTCAGCACCTTCTATCGGAATGCCAAACCCATCGAGAACTCTATAGCTTGGTATCTTGCTACCGTCTCCAGTTACAGAATTGAAGAATCCAAGCTTCGACACGACTGGTGAGTCCGTCGTGGGGAGACAGCCTAATGAAGAGGTAGGTTGGGATGAGAGTGCTCGACCTCCTGGGCGAATCCTTGTCAGTAGGGGAGAATATTTGACTGACAATGAACGCAGCATTTCTAGAGACGCGCGGATGGCAGTAGTTCCGGAACAAGTGAGTGAAGAACCCGTGACACGGTCCACGGAGCTTGAGGTAAAGTTAAAGTAGTACTTGATCTAATAATAGCTACACGTAAATGCTAGCCGTTATGATGATGACACACTTCCTGAATCAGATCAACAAGGGAGAACTCAACACGCAAAGTGGAATGCGAGATATCGCAGGTGAAGACAACAATATTTGCAGGCGAAGAATTAAGCACCACGAACGAAAAGATGGACAAGGAGAACGTTATACGTGACCCGAATCTTAAGCGATGCGGTGCCTGAATACTTTGACCTGGAGTCGGGATAGAGTTTCAACCTAACAACTGATAATATACTACCCAGAAGGTGAGTTTGCATGGAAAGGTTTTGCTGATGGGCCTAGAGGTGCGGAGGGCCCCGTCTATCACTACTAATTACAGTACTCATGTGGGAGAGGTGGCCCCATGATGCATGATGGGCTGGTAAGTACAAGATTGTTTTTCCCCACCTCGATCATTTTGTGATGCGTACCATATGCATGATAACATCTTTATAATAGTCACACCTCTGTTGACGCGCACCTGCTTTCTCTTGCGAGTATAATGTGCTCAAATCGACCATCCTGCTGTTTCTGCGAGTACTGACTTACTAGGCGAGCGCTCCGGTCGTTGAATCCGCGCTGCACTTCCATCCAAATCGTGAAACAAAATTTGCAGGTCAATCGCATACGATAATGCCTATTGTTAGAACAGCTTCTTACGCCATTTATTGACATCATCGCACAATTCTGCCTGGGGATAGATACCAATAGTGGGACGGTCGTGCCTGTCTTATTCGAGTACTTTTATACGGGATCACGGGGGTGTTTCTTCCTCCGCACTCGTTTCTTTCGATGACGACCTCTGTGAGTGTCCCGGAGAAGCACACCCCGACAACGGACAGCCTGATTAGGCCCGTCTCTTTACTGTCTTCTATTGAAAAAAGAAGTGCTTCTTTGCCCACTGATCATGACCTGGTAGATGAGACGGAGGAACAGTTCTCGTGGACAAAGTCAATCTTTCGTCGAAAGCAGACGTTCTCTCGTGACCCTGATGCAATCGCGACCAGACGCTCTGTTTTTGATGACCCTGGCCTTGCGCAATACTATTGGCCCAATAAGGACTACGAGAATCTTCACAGATTCGATCCAACCGCTCGTTGGACGTACAGGGAGGAAAGGGTCAGCTTTTATACCTATCGTGTTTTAAAGCGAGGTTGCTCATGTTAAATGCGAGGAAAGGCCCTGGTCCGCAAGTTGGATTGGAGGATTATGCTTACAGCAGCTATAGGATTTTCCGCCTTGAACTTGGACAGGAGCAATATCAGCCAGGCAAACTCGGACAATTTCTTACAGGATCTTGAATTGACTACAGACGGCAAGTTTGTTCGTTTACTATCCGAGTAATATTCTGATTTTCAGTCATCCAGACTTCAACCTCGGAAATACTGTCTTCTTGTTGGCATTCTTATGCGCAGAACTACCGTCACAGCTTGTCTCGAAGCGAGTATGTGTATTTACTGCACACTGTTTCGTCTGGCTTATGGTCGTATTCAAGATTGGACCGGATCGCTGGATACCAGCGCAAATCTGTCTCTGGAGTATGTAACAGAACAACTGTATCAAAGTGTTTCTCATCGATAACTCATAGGTTTTGTGTCTCTGTCACAATTCTGGCTGACTGGTAGGACCTCATTCCTTGTTTGCCGAGCACTTCTTGGGTAATGTCATGTAATTACTGTCCCAAACCTTCTTTTCACTGACTAGTGGATTCAGCGTCTTACAAGGCGGGTAAGTTCAACTCCTGCACGCGCTCGGGTACCCTTTTTCATATTCCACAGCTTTATCCCTGACCTGATATTATATCTATCTTGTATGTCAATTACCTTCTACGTCATGTTATTTTACTGACTTTTCGGACAGATTTTTACACGAAGACGGAGCTACCCATGCGCCTTGCCCTATTTTGGATGACTGAGAACTTCGTCGCCATCCTCGCTAGTTTTATAGCCTATGGCGTGCTTCACATGGATGGTGTGGCTGGCATTGCTGGATGGCGGTCAGTAGAAATTTAATGCTCATTTCGCAAAAACCTGACTTGACCTAAGGTGGCTATTCATAATCGAGTGCGTCCATTTCTTTTCAATGACATAAGACACGCGAACTCGACCCTTCCACAGGGGAATCCTCACTCTGCTTATAGGAATTTTCTGTTTTTTCAACATGCCCCCATCTCCAACGCAGACTAAAGCATGGTTCCGGCCAAAGGGTTGGTTCACGGAAAGAGAAGAAATCATTATGGTCAACCGAGTGCTTCGTGATGATCCCACCAAGGTAACTAATTATGTCCCAGTCTCGGTAGACTTTGTAATCACCCCCTCAGGGTGACATGCATAACCGCGAGGGCCTTACATTGCGTCGTCTCTGGACAGCAGTGTGTGATTATGATCTTTGGCCAATTTACATCCTGTACGCTGTCTCCTTGATCTTTGCAAGAGTTAGGCACTTATGAAACGTAGCGGCCTCATGTTTGGCATCCCGAACAGTCCGCCCTCGACGTATCTCACTTTACTACTTACGAACATTGGGTAGGTATTACAAGTATCCCTTCATTCGACACACTGAAGACCAGGAATCCAGATTCAATACATTTGATACCAACCTCCTTACGATACCCTCTCTGGCTATCGGAATTATCACCATGTTTTGGATCACGCTTATCTCAGAGTCTGTCAATGAACGTACGATTGTATCGATGATGATGGACCTCTGGACATTGCCTTTCCTTGTTGCACTCTATGCATTGCCTAGCAACCCTAACCCTTGGATATTTTTCGTAAGTGACGCATTTTACGCAGCGCATCATACGCGGTTTACCCAACTGTTCAGACTGTGGCGACTGGTCTATTGTCATATCCGTAAGTTCGAACTTGTCAGCATTAATATTCTTAAAGACCATTCTTGACATCCTCGTGTTACCAGTTATACCCATCCAATCCAGGTACTAAAAACAATCCTCGAGCGAAATAAATACTCATCTCTTGTTACAGGTGGGGTGGTGCTCTCGTAACGCCGGGGCAGTGGCAAGTCGAACAGTCAACGCGTCGTTGTACAACATGTGTGTAATTCTCCATTTCCAGACTGGTGACATACTCATCTTCCGCTAGGTTCGTGCAAGTCAGCGGAATCGTATCCGCACAGATCTACGTAGCCAGCGATGCTCCCAGATGTATGTCACTCCTCTTTTTCTTTTCCAGGCAACATAATCGTCGCACTCATCTCCGCGCGCAGATCAACGCGGCAACAGGACCCTCATCATTATCTGCTGCGTCAACATATTTATTCTGTACCCAGCTACGAAGGCATATTACATCTGGCGCAACCGACAACGAGCTAAGATTTGGGATGCGATGACAACAGAGGTGAGTTCATCGTGAACTTTCTAAAGAGCTAGGGCTCTGGCGCTAAAGACTTGTTAAATGATAGGAACGTGCCCACTATCTGAGCACGACCAAGGATGTTGGGAACAGAAGACTCGATTTCCGTTTTGCGCATTGATGACTTGTTCAATTATGTAGATTGATCAATGCGAGCTTGGGGTGCTAATAGCAAAGCCATTTTTGTGTGTCAGGAACCACATTGGTGAAGGCAGTGTGGAAATCCCCCTCAGACACTGCCCTTTCCCGAAAAATACGCAGGCCTTTCTAACGATACGAAAAGAAAAGCCAGAATGAGTCGATCAGCACATCCTTGTGTCCCTGTATGTGCAAGGCCGCAGGCCCTTCACCACATACAATTCGATCGACAGACTGCGGCTGCTATGAGGGCGCAAGCACCTGATGAAATGAATTGTCGGTACGTGCTCTTGCGAATCAGCGGCAACATTCGAGTTCCACCCAGTCAGCTTTTCGATACATCGTTTAGTCGGACGACCGTGAATTCAGGCTCAGTGCTAGGTATAAACTGACAAGGAATCAAAGAATCAAATGGTACACTCGATATCGCAACAGTAAAATCTTCGCTACATGGAGCTAGCAGGAGTGATGTTAGCAACTGCGGTGACAGATGTTGAACACTAGGAACTCACGCATCTCGGCAGCTCGACCAGCGCGTTCCATACGCCATGCGGCTCAAATCAAGCTGCGGATATCCTCTGGGTGTCCCATCCATCACCCTGCAGCAAGAAAGGGGTTGAATTAGAATCATGGTGAGAGGCAGGTTCAAGCAGGTCAGAGGGGTTGGGCAAGGCGTGTTCCAGGCTGGATGAGGAGATGAAGCGATTGTTCCAAGTGTTGGTTTGCATGATACGGCTTTCTTGGGTGGTACGTGTGGCGCTTCGATGCAGCGAAAATGCGGAGGATTCTGGTTCTATGGGCTCGGAGCATGGCTTCACATTCACTGCATTCCACAGCCGCACAGTCTTCTCCTCCGAACCAGACGTGATGCGAGTACCATCCGGTGAGAACGAGACTGACACAACTGCTCCGGTGTGCCCCTCCAAGGGCTCACCCAATGGCTGTCTCGTCGCTGTATCCCACAGCCGCACAGTCTTATCCGTCTTATCCTCTGAACCAGACGCGATGCGAGTACTATCCGGTGAGAATGAAACTGATATCACTGCTCCAGTGTGCCTCTCCAAGGGCTCACCCAATGGCTGCCCCATCACCGCATCCCACAGTCGCAGTGTTATCGGATGAACTAGACGCGATGCGAGTACCATCTGGTGAGAACGCGACTGATATGACTGCTCCAGTGTGCCCCTCCAAGGGCTCACCTAATAGCTGTCCCGTCCCTACATCCCACAGCCGCACAGTTTTATCCTCCGAACCAGACGCGATGCGAGTACCATCCGGTGAAATTGAGACTAAGAAAACCGCTCCAGTGTGCCCTTCCAAGGGCTCACCCAATAGTTTTCCCGTCCCTACATTCCACAGCCGCACAGTCTTATCCCTAGAACTTGACGCGATGCGAGTATCCGCGAATTTGAGTAGAATGTAGATGTCTGATGGGGATTTGTGTTTGAGAGGGGTGGTAAGACCCATGATACGTCCTATCAACTGATCAATGTGAACAGGGACCTTTTCAGTAAACAAATAAGTTCACCTGGATATGATATAGGTGCTGTTCCATGTCCTACAAACGTGCTGGAAGAGTTGATGTCATCGAGTTGAAAAAAAAATAGACCAGACAAGACGTGCAGAGCGGGGAGGGAGTGTAGCACCTTCAAGTTGTCGAATGTGTGCCACGACCGTCGATGTAGCCCTGACGTATAGGAAGATGAACTTAGCACCGGTTGCAGACGAGATCTACACAGCAATAAGCTGTGAAGCGAACACAAGGATGACACATGGGGCACAACTTAAAAGATGCTTGAACGAACAGGTGCCCAACTTCCTCAACTCCCAACCAAACGCCCTCTGATCGGTGGCGACTGAGCGCTGGATTCGTCAAGACAGTGCTTTTCGTGAGTAATATTCTCGGCTCTTCAACTGATGGCATGCTTACTACCAACTTCGAAAGATCTCTTGCATATTGTAATTTCACAAATAACGACGCAGCACCTCCTCCATAGACAGTCCCAAAATTAGAGTTCTGGGTGAGTGGATTCTGTAGTAAGTGAGCTGTTTTATTAGCATTGGCTTATGTGCTCCGAATTAAGGTGAAAAAGACAGGTTCCTAAACTCACCAGCAATTACTGCTGTTGCCAGATAACCTGACCTGATTCCAAGATCCCGCCTCCCATCAACATACCGAGCGCTAATCAACTATGTCTTCCTCCACCAGTGAGGTGCCTGCGATCACGCCACGTCAGACATTGCAAAGTCATACCGATTGGGTTAATGGTGTTGTACATCTGCATGCGAAACGACAGGTCATCACATGTTCCGGGGACCGTTCACTCCGACTATGGGACCTAGAGAGAGGCACACAGGTAGGAGAGGACTGGCGAGATGAAGAGGATAAGGCGAAAGTGCGGTCCATGGCATTGTCTCCAGATGGCAAGACAATTGCCAGTGGATGCTATGACAAGAAAGTAAGGTTATGGGACGTCGAGACGAAGGAGGTTATTGCCGAATGGTTAGGACACGCCGATCTTGTGTATGCATTGTGCTGGAGTGGAGATGGTAAACGAGTGCTGAGCGGGTCCTGGGACGGGACGGCAAGAGTCTGGGATGTCGAGAGCGGCGAAACTGTCCTAATGATCAAAACCGGGCACCAGTGGGTGAACGCGGTGATATACTCGCCCCATGCAACGAAAATTGCAACGGGCGGACTTGACGAGGATGCGGTCAAAATCTGGGATGCCAAGACAGGCGACCTGCTTAACACGCTCAAACACGATTATCAAATTTTGAGCTTGGCATGGACATTGGACGGGAAGAGACTTATCTCCGGTTCATATGGCTCGATTAGGATATTCGACACAGCCACCTGGCAGGTGGCCGCAGTCCTTGACGGTCACCAATACTGGGTCTACTCCATCTCCTTGTCCGTCAATGGTCGTTTCCTTGCAAGTGCATCCGATGATAAGACAGCACGCCTGTGGAATCTTGACACCAACCTCCCTGTCGGTCTACCCCTCCAGCACGAAGATGAAGTAGACTGTGTAGCCCTTTCAACTGATGGAAAGCTGCTAGTTACTGGTTGCGAAAACACAAACGCGTACACATGGGATATTCAAGTCATCCTCAAAGAAGCTGGCCTTGAAGACCTCCTCCCATCTTTATCTGATGTAAAGCTCATAATTATTCGGTGAAAATTGCGCTTATATCTCCCTTGCAGGTGGCAGCTCAAGAGCCATTAATGGATGTACGTGCTACACAGGCCGTGGATGATGAACTTTCACCAGACTTTTTCAATGACGTGACACATGGCGCTAATGTGTGTCATCAGCGTTTTTAATCGGTTCATGTTCTGACCTCTTGATCTCAGTCCTCTGGAACGTACGGTAACTATCACCGTTCATCTTCCCGCCGTCCTCGCCCTGTCGCACCCTCTTTTGGGAGTGCGAGTGTACTCTTCGGTCACCTTTCGTCGCCTTTCCGTCGCTCTCACTCCAACACCAATAGATTAACTGAGCTCCAGCAACGCCCAAGGCGGTTCATATTGTCTCGTGGTCCTCGTGTCGTCGAAGTGGCTGCAGTAAAGGACAGAGAGGTATGTATCTCTTCGCATGCATTTCCTATCATCGTGATTTAATAATTTCTGTCCAGGTTATATTCACTGCTCCGCCACCGCCACCAGAAAAAAAGCAGCAGGAAACCCAACCACAAGCCCTGAGGTCGTCCACGTCACAGCCTGCTCCAAGCACTAATCCTACTACACCAAGTGCAAGATATAAGCATTCACTACCCGTCCGATTATTGGCTCGTCTCGCGCTTCTTCTTTTTTGTTGCGCATCACCTCAGCACGCTAATGAAAATGCACAACCAACGCAGCAGCAGCAGCAAGGCCAAGCCCAGCCCCAGGCGCCACCATCACAGACTCAGCCTACTGCCCCCTAGGAGGCCGTGACACCTGTTGCTCTTGATAGTACTCATACCGCCGCGCCAGACGTAGCAAGCGTGTAGCTATGACCCCTTCCATTATGGACTCGTTCGTTCTTTTTTCTGCCGTGCATTGACACTGCAACATATGGACAGTTATCTCATCTTGTCATCTTCTGGTTCATCTGTCATTTGTGTTATCTCATTGTTCACGCCGAGGGTGTATGTATTTGATCTTCACGACCTCCTCAATTTCAGGTTACTTTCAATGCTATACCGTGAAGCCTCCATTTCAATCCCAGGCAGTTGCTAGATACATGCAAATCCTGGTGCTGCACATCTCGTGCACCAGTCATCCTGTCCGCATCTAATCCTTGGGTACCCCGTGGTAAGTATTCGCAGTATTCCGCCTCGGACTGAATTGTTTCCTCCCCGAATTGCACATGCACACCCCAACCGCATTTCCTGCAATTCACCCATGCTGCCGAGTCAGTTTCAACATACTATACTGATCTCATAGCAATTTCCCGTTATATATGATGATATATCGGAACTGGTTTGAGGGGAGGAGTTTAGACTGGTCCCAAGCTTGAGTTCGCTCATCCATAGATATTCACAATACCTTCCGCCGCTCCCACTCTAATACCGATGGATAGAGCAACCGAAATCCTGAAGACAGTCCATCTGTACTCGCAGTCCTCGTATTGTCGGGCTTGCTACGGTACAATACTGACAGGTGTGTGCTCCTTCACTGTCGTCGTGGTTTAATAATTTTGTTCCAGTTGCACTACGGCCAGAGAACGCAGCAACAATGGCAAAGCTGGCTTACAAGCAAGCCTTGTCGTTGCAATCTCAGCCTAGCGCCACCTCGCCGTCCACCACACCTCGTGGTGGAGCATCCGAGCAGTCACACCCGTCATATTGTGAGCTCGTCTTGTGCTTGTTCTTTACTGTGCATCTCCCCCACATGACTCGTAGAGTTTCTTTCATGTTTCCACTTACTCAGATAATTTGTTTCCTCATCATGGGGCTCTTGTAGTGCATCGGACTTCGCAATGCTAACTATTGTGAGCGAAGGACAGTTCGATCGCTCGTGTTCTTTTCCTTTAGATCAGATGGGAGTTTCTGCTACCACGACCTCAAGCATCTCAACCAGATCAGAGAACAGCGTCATAATCATGAAACAGACTGTCTGCGTTCTACGCGACTTCGCTATCAATGATCTGTTAAGCGCCATCCCGTAGTAAGTTTGTATATCTTTAGATGCATCTCGAGGGCAGACACTTATTTCTTCCGGCGCTCAATACCCCAAATATTCAGCGTTGCGGTCATCACCATACATTTAGGCTGTTACTCTCCGCCAAGATAGAGATTTTTCGTGTGTACAACCTGGTGGTTATCTCGGGTTTCTACAAGTCCGAAACGTATCTCGACACCTTCATCAGGTGATCTCTCACGAACACGTTCCTCTCCCTTATCATTTTCTCTATTCCTCGTTTCTCTGTCTAGGAGAAAGGAGCTACACAAATACCTATCAGACCATAGTGGATGCCATAGCACTAGAGCATGCGCCTTCCACAGATCAGCCATAGTACCTGTGGTTGTTGTCCTCGACAGTGATTAGGATGGTGACGGTCAATCAATAGAAGCCAGCGTTGCTCCGAATCAACCAGACATGCTCGCAGTGCGAGGGCAGGATGAATGAATGATTTCGGATCCATGTGGTTCGTTCTGGGAGAAGATTGCCGTGACGACAAGTAGTGGTAGGCAGGAATTAATTTGTGGCTGAAAAAAAAGCATGTGCTCCCTCCGCTCTATGGAGACTAAATGAAGTATCAGTGCAAGAAAGAAAAACAGCTGAACTCCCGGTCTAGAAGCGAGAAAGCGAAGGCAGTATATTACACACGGATGTCCGCATTACCTCCGGGAGGCATGCCAACACGAAAAGATGTGTGGTAGACGGTTTGACAATAAAAAACTCGCCAGCGACCATCAAGATGTTGTACAAGACACTCAGCAAGAAGGCCGCAAGAAGAGTAGCAGGGCGTGTGATGCATCGAAGTTCATATATACAGATGGACGGAATGGTGGTTATCACCACGACATCTAGATCCACTTGGGTGAGACGCCCACGATGGGCCACAAATGTTACAGCGACCCAATGGGACCTGCTCATCTCCCGAGGTACCCCATGAGAGCACAGAGAGCTGCCATGCAAACGATATAGTTCGGAGATCCTAACATGTATGACTGGGTATTTCCACGAGGCTTAATCAATAGTAGACTCAAAAGCCTCGTGTAGGTCTATAAAATGGTTAAAAACTGTGTACTGCGGGATGAAATAGTTGCAAACACACTGTTGATCAGCTTTTTGGTAACTTTAAAGCCTCCTTTGCAGCTTTCTTGCGTCCGCCCATAAGTAATGTCACATAGTCCGCACCTCCGAGAACACGTTCTCCCGTAACCTTGCTTGATGACGGTTTTGACTTTGACTTTGACTTGAGATCTGCGCGTCTCCTTGCGGCTTGTACGTGCGATGATACTACAGGTGCATTCGGTGTATTAGCAGCGCCGGATGAAGGGTGTGACGCAGATGATGCAGTTGTCTTCTTTTTCTAAGAAGACTTCATTATTACTAGAAGACGGGAATGAAAATTGATCGTCGACGACTCACGATGCGTTTGTGCAGCTTTGCGTTCCGCCCCATCTTGATGGTCTGTGGAAGGAGACAGCGCTCGGTGGCAGTGCTCACACAATTTTCGGCAACTAGATCTTAGATCTAAGCGCTAGCACCAAGCAGGCACCTCTCGTTCGTTTCTCGGTCTTTCTTGGTTGCACATTTCACTTTCCACATATTCCACCAGTGGACGCAGGTAGCACAATTCTGCGAGCGATCAAGATTTCTTGAACAGAAAATTTGTCTCTTATCCAATGGGTCTGTCACATTAATTATGCATTGGACATGATGTGTTTGGTTTTTGAATTTGACTATGGGCACCCATATCAAATCATCTCTCACATTTTTGACCAACTCACTCACCGCCAGGCCTGGGCCTGCATACGACACGCACCATTGGTGCTATTTGCTTTACCTGCTCGAAAAAAGACGACAATGAATGTTACCGGCGCCTGCCTTCGTCTCGATACCCTTCGCCGTGACCAACAATCGTATATCGTCCAATAATTACAAGGAACTTCATTGGACGTATTGTTCAGCTTCCTGTGTGCTCCTATTCCTACTGCTGATCCTCTTCTCCCTCTCCGTAGATTCCACAACATTCATCGATTTTTCTTCAAAGATCTGGTGTTTGGATCAAATGATGACTCGACACGCTCAGGTCCTCAATCCTGATATGACACCCGATAGCAGCTTTTGGTACAATTCACCCTACATTCTTGAATAATCCGGGAAGGTGCCAATTTCGAATATCGAGTCCTATCCTCCAGTAACAAGTAGCACCGTGACCAATGAGAAGTACCTGCCGTCTTCTCATACCAAGAATGATAATGGTGAATTTGTATGCTCTCCATAGGAGACTGGAAAAGTTTCACACGTCCGTCCACCACAGACATACATAAATGAACATGAATCTTGCAAACTTGTGACCTCCGAGCTGAACTCTCTGACATGAACCGTGCAGTCTCGACTTCGTCAAAGATGTAGGCACAGGTACTGGCGTGAATGACGGAAACTCTGTCACATTTTCTAGGGAGTTGATTGGTTTCTGACCTCCTTGCAGACTCGCCTGTGAAAGCTGGCCCGTAGGAATAATCAGAACGAAGTTCAAGCCAACGGGAACCCACTAATGCGAATTGTCTTGCCAGCCTGACAGACTGTGCAAAGAAGCCATGGGAGAGGCATCTTCTGTATGCCATGATGCCAGCGTGCAGCGTGCCCAAGTCCCTTCACTGCAAATGGTCCCGTCAGATTTCAGACGTCCATCAGCGCGTCCTTGTGTCTCTGTACCTGCGAGGTCGCAGCCACTTGATGACAGACACTTCGATCGAAAGATTGCGGCTGCTATGTGATGACATCTCAGAACAGGAACATCGCCTCTCAACATCTGCATGAATTTCTGAGGGCGCAAACATGCCTGATAAAATCAGTTTTCGGTACGAATTAAGAACGACATCTGGAGTTTCGGCCATCTGCTTTCCAGCACATCGTTCAATTGGACTTAGGCTCGGTGCTAGGTATAAAATTGACAAAAAATCAAATGGTACACTCAGTATCACAACAATAGAATTATCGTCAGGTGGAGCTAGTAGGATTGATGTTAGCAACTGAGAAAACGGATGGTAAGGACTAAGAACTCACGCATCTCGGCAACTCGACCAGTGCGTCCCATGTGCCATGCGGCTCAAATCAAGCTCAGGATGTCTTCTGGGTATCACCAATGAAATCCAAGGAGTATAAAATGCATGTCGGGAGGCGAGAGGTACCCAGAAAAGGAGCCGATGATTGGGTCCCATCACCCATCCATCAGCCTGCAGCAAGAAAGGGGTTGAATTAGAATCATGATGAGAGGCAGGTTCGAGCAAGTCAGCGGGGTTGGGCAGAGCGTGTTCCTGGCTGGATGAGAAGGAAATGAGGCGATCGTTCCAAGTGTTGGTTGACATGATACGGCTTTCTTGGGCGGAAGGTGCGATGCTTTGGCGCAGTGGAGACGCGGAGGAACCTGGCTCACTTGACCCGGGAGATGGCCGTCCCGTCACTATATCCCACAGCCGCACAGTCTTATCTTCCGAACCAGATGCGATGCGAGTACCATCCGGCGAGAACGAGACTGACCAAACTCCTCCAGTGTGCCCCTCCAAGAACCCACCCAATAGCCGTCCCGTCCCTGCATCCCACAGCCGCACAGTCTTATCTTCAGAACCAGACGCAATGCGAGTACCATCCAGCGAGAACGAGACTGACCAAACTCCTCCAGTGTGCCCCTCCAAGGGCCCACCCAATGGCCGTCCCGTCCCTGCATCCCACAGCCGCACAGTCTTATCCGATGAACTTGACGCGATGCGAGTACCATCCGACGAGAACGAGACTGACAAAACTGCTCCAGTGTGCCCCTGCAAGGGCTCACCCAATGGCCGTCCTGTCCGTGCATCCCACAGCCGCAGTGTTATCGTACGAACCAGACGCAATGCGAGTACCATCCGGCGAGAACGAGACTGACGAAACTGCGCCAGTGTGTCCCTCCAAGGGCCCACCCAAAGGCCGTCCCGTCCCTGCATCCCACAGCCGCACAGTGTCATCTTCCGAACCAGACGCGATGCGAGTACCATCCGGCGAGAACGAGACTGACCAAACTCCTCCAGTGTGCCCCTCCAAGGGCTCACCCAATGGCTGTCCCGTCGCTGCATCCCACAACCGCACAGTCTTATCCGATGAACTTGACGCGATGCGAGTACCATCCGGCAAGAACGAGACTGACGAAACTATTCCAGTGTGCCCATTGATTACGGCCTGAACAACTGTCCAGTTGAAATCAAGGCCAGATACCAGACGAAGGTTATTCGGAAATCTTCTCATAAATTTGGTAGCCATGATGGAGTTGACGGGCGAGAATGGGAGCGCTGATACATACAGATGTGGCGTGCTGTGCAAAATCATGCCGCCAAACACTTGAATGAATCTTTGTACATCCATCATGCTGGACCGCAGTTCTTCGTATCCAGAATGACCCTGTATTTGTTTATGAGCTGTTCATCCGACACTACCTCGTAGGTATTATGTGCTTACCTTCAGCCACTTGGCAACGAGTGCAAGCACAGTAACGGCACCGCTGATTGCATTGAGAAGTCCGAGTGATTCAATCCAGAACATCAGTCGCTCATTGTCGAAGAGTAATTTTATTTCCTTTGCTAGTTTATCGTCAAAGTCTGTTATTTGAACATGTGTGGCCCAATATCGACAGGAATAGGAGAGAAGTGGGAGAATGAATGTTTTGACTCGTTGAGGCAGTTCTGTATCCTGGGAATTAGGGAGGTACGACGATTTCAAATCACAGATGTTGAAGCGAAGGCCATCTTTTCGGGCCATCATCACTCGCAGTGACGCGAATGCAAGGTTGCGTTGTTGCGCCTTCGTTCTCTGGACGAAGAAGTCTCCGCTGGATGATTTGTCCGTGAGATATTCTTGAAAGGTCGCATGAAGGGGTCGGACGGGGGTATGTGAGTCGGTAGTGCCGCTGAGGAGGGATCCCATGCGCTTTACCACTACATCTACTTCGTAAAGGTCGTGGTCCTCCGGGAAATGCTGCCGCATAGCATTCAGTGAAGCTAAAGGGAGGGGTTCGGCTGTGGCAAGTATTTGTCCCATCACAGAACGAAACTTCGCTACTGTTTGCTCGTAATGAGCCGTTGTGTACTTATCCTTTGGCATGATTTCTGTTAAGATGAGTCGATACATATCATACAACAAGTTTTTCCGCTCCCCAGGATTGCAATTCACGACAGCATTGAAACAGTCCGTTGGGGATAAGCCGGGAAGCTCTTCCGTAATGTATTCGCATGCAAGACGTGCCCACTCGAAAAGTCCATCAGCTTTCGCAGCGAGGTCTGCAAACTCTTGGCGCCCAAAATGCGGCAGATCTTTTAGCTTGTCAGATACAAAAGCATGGATGTCGGACTCCGCTACTTCTGCTGGAATCTTGTCCATGGACAAGGGTAGAATATGATTAACACCTTCAAACTCCTTTTCGATGTCATGAAGGGGGCGAGAGGTGACGAGAATACGAAAGTTGGAAGGGAGTTCATTGATTTGGGGAAGCCCTTTGTCTTGAAGTCTACCGGCAAGTATGCGGAGGAGGTTACGCCGTGTCTCCACTCCACCACTCTCATCTAGTGCTTCGATCACTATCAAGACGGGCCCCACACTTGACGCAGAGAGCTTCTTTAGCGGTTCCATGAGAAGCTTGCGCCACTGCTGGATAATGTCCGTCGTATTCTTGAGTGAGTGTGCATTCTTGACTACGTCCGCTAACGCTCGTTTCATTCCCGGATCACGATCAGCAAGATCGCGCGCGATGGTGGAGAAAATCTTTTCATGACGACGGTCTGCTTCTCTATGCCGATCGAAACAAAAACATGAACCAAGGCCTCCCGTTTCCTCAAACCAGTTGGCAATCGTGTGCGCGATGGCTGATTTGCCCTTGCCTGCAGGGCCGGATAGCCACATTACACGCGGAACAGAATCGCCGCTGCTGTTGATCCACTCGGTGATCTGGGAGAGAATCTCCATGCGAGTACCTGGCAGACATTGTTTCGCAGTATCTAGTCCCGCACCCGCAGCATAAGTCATGCCGCCAAGATCGAGTGTTTCACCTTTAAGGGTATCAGTGGATCTAAGGTGGGAAACATACATGAATCCTCACCCGCAAACTGGACAAATATAGCTACGTCCCGATGAGCTTGATCCCGAAATTGTTGCATAAGTTCATCCAGGGCGTTGTTGTACCGTGCGATGATATCATCCGTTTCTGCGACGACGTTTTTACCAACTCTCTTCCCTATTAACATAGTGAGCATCATATTCATGTGCGAATGCAACAGTTCGACGACTCACAGAAGCTCTTCGTCTCCGAGTAATCCCTGATGAAACGGGCACACTCGAGAGTCTGCTGAGCGATCTTTCCGATGACATCATGCATCGATTCAACCTTGGAAAGATTGTCGTCTTGGGTAACGAAGCCATAAACTTCATTTAATTTCTGGAGAAGGCGATGCACTGATTCGTCGCGTTCCGCTTGAGCAAGAACAATCTGCAAGGAACCATAACTTCTGAGCGGGAGACAAGTCTCCGGGAAACATAGAACGTACTTTAGCTGCAGCAGAAAGTATGCCCAACGCCATCTTTGCATATGGATGTACCTATAACCTGATTAGTTCGCTACCAGCTAAGGAGGGCAGCCCATACATTTGCGATCTTTTCAATGACAGTGTCAAAATTTTTCAGGGGTTGGAGGTAATTAGTCTGGAAATCATCTGCAGCAGTGAGACCTGCTTGGGCATTGTTGGCGGCGGATGTCACAGACTGCGCAGGTCCCCCGAGTGTTTTCATGTGTTCTGAAGCCTCGTGGGCACCCTGAAGTTCAGCATCAACTGATTTGGAACCAATGCCTTCCTCTACGCCAGAGGGGATGTCGAGAACCTGCGCGACCAACAAAATTTAGAGACAAAAACCATAGATGTGATTCGAGTACCTTCGAAGCAGGTTCTCCGGATGTGCCTTGGTTGACCCTGATATTCTGATTCGACAATGCATCTTGAAATTCGACATTTTGGATCGCAGGAATACGGTTACGGGAACACTTGAAGCGTTTCTGCACGACGTCAGCCATATTCAGAATCAGGAAACCCAGTGGTCTAATTACAGAAAGTTTCTTGGTGACGCCTTTCGCAAATTTCCGCACAGCCTGCTTGACTTGACTACGGGGTTGGTTCTGGACGAGGAAAGTGTCAGAAGTAGTGATGAATTTCATGAGCGCTAATCCACAGTGCGTAAGCCTTTGAGACTACATACTGAGCTTTCACGAGCAGTTGCTTCGCAGGTTTCTGGAGGAGGATCTGGCCTATGGTCTCCCGAGTTACTCATCACGAATGGTTGATTGCTGCGAGCGAAGTGGGGTGCAAGAAGTAGGTGGGAGAAAGGAGACCTCTAGCATGAGCCGAATACCCTTGACCAAAGCCGCATGGGCAACACGTTGACTAAATTCTTTAAGCGCTAATCATGATTAGGCCCATCGCCGAAGGAATAAGGAAGCATGAAGCTTTGAAGGGGCAATGCCATAGATCTAGCCACACCTATCACAGAAACGATGGATGCTGATCGAAACGCATATGAACAATGATAGTGCATGATTGATTCACGAGCGTGCTACACCGTCAAGTACATATACATGCGATCAAGATTCTTGTTCCACATTCAGAATTTTCAGAGCAGGTAAGTAGTACTACTCACTGACATCAATCATTGGAGTCTCTTGTCATAGGTACCGTCATGACCGGTGACCACCAACGACGGCAGTCATAGTACACAGAAATTGAACATGACTTGCTTAGTAAGCATTCAAGTCAGTTTTTAGCGCTCACAGCGACTGTGCGTCCGAGTCCGACCATCTGTCCCAGCAGTCTAATCCAGCATACCCTAAACAAACAATTCGATGGCCGGTCTGTGCAGCGTGTACAAGTTTGTGCAGACTTCAGGTAATAGCTGTGTATGACTCCAGAGTTCGAAAACGCCAGAGATGGAATTCACAGTCACGATGCACAACCACCAGTCGGGATTAATATCCTTGCTTAGGTCGCGTAGACTTGTACCTAGACCGGCCAAAACTCTTATATTCGCAAGTGATCGGCAGCGTTGGGTAATCATATCTTGAACACCAGTGAACAGCACTGAGTACCCTCTGCCCAGACTTTGCATATCCGACGCACGACCTTATCATGGCTCCGGGTGTTCTGCACTGACTCCGTAGTTTCGATGATGGGAGCTCCAGCAAGGTACTAATGCAACTCAACGATGACCTCTGGTAATTAGCAACTCGAGAGTCGGTTGCTAGTGTACCAACTTTGATTTTATTGTGGAGGTGAGCTTGAAAGTTTTGTAATCGGAACGGTGACTGTGCCCTCTTACAGCAATGGGAGCGTTTTATTCACAGTTGATTGGTTTCGGCGCGCGAAGAAATTTTACGCCAGATGCTGGTGCGCAATACATCTGGCTAAACACATCAATTACAATTATGCGGCAGCAAGTGGGATTAGTATTGCTGTGCATTGGAGGTACGGTGCGTAGTACATACCTTGACAGCTGTTCTCCCCCCAGGATCCGTCCGTAATTATCGACGGCCGTTGGTACTGGTTGCAGTGTTGTTTGAACGCTGACCCCGTTACCATATCTTCTGGAATCCAAGGACAACACTCCTTATGATTGGTTTTACCCGAGTGCGCGTGGGGCTCGATTTAGACCCGTGTGATCACCACGGTGGAGGTTGACACACGATTATACCGGAAGCTTGATTATCATCATTGAAAAGCACATGGTCCCAAGAGTTCACCAGTGCAGTGGAGATTCAGCGGAGATAAGTATATTGATGATGCTTTGTCCGGTACAATGGTCTTCGGGGTACTCGTTTCACTTGCCGTCACTCTCACAACTCAAACCACTTGCTGTTTGTCCCATCCGGATCCTCCCATCATCACGCCTTCGTGATTGCTATCATTATCTGTTTACTGTATGGTTAGATCGACAGCGCTTGGCTGGAGATTGATCACACGCAAGCCAACTTTGTGCCTCCCGAAATAGCAATGATCCAACATTGGCCTACCAACTGCATTGGGGACAATCGGCCCCGATGTATTCCTTCCAAAATCTATCACTGTCTTCGCGGTCGATGTGTACGATATTTGTAAACCATTATAGCTGTTGAATTCAGGTTTCTCCTGTGCTCTTAGCTTGAATGTCGCAATTATATGCTGAGATTGACTGAGTTGTTATGCTATCACACATTGCAACTAAGTACATGCGGTAACAGATCGTGGTCCGTGTGGTACAGTGTAACAAAATACTTGTACAGTTGATGTTGATATTTCTCAACTGCACTGAGGGCTTTGAAACATGCATGACAATGGCCAATCTAACATCAAGCAGTTGGGAGGACATATGTAGATTGGGGTCGAGACCCAAGTCCACTCTGCATGTCCAATTAGACAAACCATCGCCGAGATGTGACACTCACTCACCTCTTCATAGATTTTCTCTATCCATTCCATATTTGCAATGGAGTCCTCAGGGCTCACCCAGGTTTGTGGTGTTCGGCCCTTAACCTTGTCTACAAAAGCTTCCAGCTGGTACCTGTAGGTGGACCACCACTCCTCTCCTTTACCACCCTCGAACGTGTATGCTCTCTCGGTCCTCGGAACGTCACCGTCAGGTCTCACAGTGATAGAATGGTAAATCACTGGCATCACGAAGTTGAACACATCGATGGAGCCACGTTCACAAACTGCGTGGACGGAAATTTCTGGCCAGTGAGGGATAAAGCCCCATCGGGGAGGGACGGCGAAGTCGCATCTGATAGTGGACCTCACTGGCTCCTCGTCAGGCTTCGAGGAAGCAAAAGTGAGATTGGCAGTGGTGCCTGTATCAATACGTGGATCTCTTGGGTACCGTACCGCGGTTGCGGACATCACCGCAGTAGGGTTGCTTGATGCAAGATAACGAACACAGCTTAAAGGATAACCTTGTAATATCATGTTAGAAGGGCCCATCGTAGGAGAAAGGGGAAGCTGACATCCGCAATCCATCATCGCACCGCCACCAAGATCGTATTTCATCCGGATATCATCATCGTTGCCAGCCATACCCTTCGGGAGCGTAAGAGCTGCATTTACCTCCTTGATAGCACCCAGTTCGCCATTGTCAATGATGGCCCTGACACGTTGAATAGCAGGGTGAAACCTGATATACGTCAAGACAGTGCTTTGTTACGATCAGAAAGACACTTACCTATAGTGGAATGCCTCAAGAAGAACGAGCCCCTTCTGGTCCGCGAGAGAAAACATGCGCCTCGTTTCTTCGGCGGTATTACCACTGGGCTTCTCCAAGAGCACATGTTTTCCGGCAGCAAGAGCCTTCATTGTCCATTCGTAATGTAAACCATTAGGCAGCTAACGGGCCCTTAGTCACAGAAACTTCGCACGCAACGGCATTCAATTGGCACGCACGGGGTTGTAGACCATGTCTACTGCGGGGTCATCAAGAAGGTCTGTCATGCAGCAGTAAACACAAAGGGTGCCACTCTATCAACATGTTGTCTAGCTTACCTTGGTATCCATCTTTCCCTCCATACCACTTCTTGAAACCATGCTTCTTCGCGAAATTCTCGGCACGACTGATGTCTCGCGCTGCAACAGCATAAAGCTCTACCTCCGGATGGCTTTTCGCAGGCAGAACAAGAGCATGAGGAGAAATTGCGGCCGCCCCTAGAAGACCAATTTTGAGGGGAGGAGAAGCATCTTTATCTTCCACGTTGGGTGGGTGAGGTGGACTAATGAAAGCCTGCGATAAAAACAGTGAGATAGTACGGCTAGTCCTAGTATGATCTGTACTGGAAACCGACTTACCGCATAAACGCGCTTGAACACACCAAAGATGAAGAACATGATAGGCAAGTGTTGCAATGTAAGGTCACGGTGAGAGAGTCCGGTCACCTACTGTTTCCGGCCAATCTGGTCAAGGCTGTGACAGTGTTTCTCAGAATCAAAATTCACATCTGATTAGTACCAGTCTTCAAAGCTTCAAGCTTCAATGATAATTGACGATTAACACTTCAGAGCGAAAGCGGACTTGTGAGAAGGTCGGCGGTACAACCAAATTTACCTAGTAGAATAATTAATCATTGCCTGTTATATAGGGGCTATTGATGGCTGTTTGTAACCGAACTATTAATGTCAGAACGCTAGCTAGGACTTGCCGAGGCAAGGTCAAGACTGTTGTGCACTTTGGGGCAACTAGTGGAACATTGGTGTCCTGTGATGCCCTAGTGACGTGTTCTGTGATGCTCCGAGTTGACAGCATACCCGAAGAACGAGGGCAATGCGTGGTTTCGGGTGCAGTACGTACGTCGTGACGCAGATTTAGTCCTACTTCACCACTCCACGAACCTTGTCTCTCTTAGCTCGCCATGGCTAGTGACGTGTCCTTTGATGCTCCGAGTCCCCAGTGTCGGTTGGCTTGTATTTATTCTAGTACGCAGTACATCTGTCTTATATAGTACCTTCAAGAAGTAATGTCCCTCTTTTGAATACTACACTAAAAGTACAGTTATGTTATGTAACTTGTACATGACTCAACGATTTGATAGTGATGACATCATTGACATTGTTTACATAAATTCACTGGCACAGTGCGCCAAGGAGAGAACAGGTGAAAGCCCTCCAACGGAGCAAGAGACATCAAGCTAGGGGCAATAGCTGGGAAACGCCACAAACTACTAACGAACAACTCATCGTCAGTGTCGTCGATCTGCAATTTGCCAATTGATATTTGGTTAGGCCCGTATACCGCACGTTACGGAGACACATTGATGACGTCGCCGTTTGATTTGCGGTCAGATCTATGCAGCATTGGTCGGATGACGAGGTAACCAAGACTCCATCACTAGCACTTACGCCTATTCGTGAAACCTAATAACTTAACTGCCAAAGCCTCAGGCCTTAAGCAGTAATTGCGAACCGTCTGCGGGATTCTATTGAATAGGATGGCCTGAATGGGTTCATTCGACAAGTGCAGCATAGATTGCGATGCACTAGTGTGGAGAACCCTGTTATTAAGCCCGGTGGTATGGTAAGCATGTCAATATTGGTTAGTGCGTCTGTTGTTCTGATCAGCGGTGGCACCTTGAGCGTCATGACCTTCAGATTCTACAGTGCTTGTACGTATCTTGCTACAAGGCCAAAGTTCAACGTTCATTGGCAGTAGTGGTGATCGGCAGGCCGTTCCTTGATACCGAAAGATATCAATAGACACGAGGCTTTTTGAACGCAACCCCCGTACAGGTCTTGAGTGGGAGTGTCTTTGAATTGTGGTCAGTATTACTCTCTGAAGGCCGTAGCGAAAGATCACATACCAATATCACAATTAAGCCGCGAGCCGACGTAGATGTGATCTGAGAGATGATGTCAAGCACCGACAAACAGGAGGCCGTGTGGTTTGGGGCCGGGTTGGTGCAAGGTTCGTCCGAGCTTGGACCAGTTCATGGTGGTTTGTGCATCAAGCTCGATCCCTATTGAGGGAGCTTGCACCGAAGCTAACAGTGGAATACAGTCAGCATCTCCACGGGCCAACACTCCATGACAGTAGCCAATAGCAGGAACCGCATTTGAGATGAATCCCCGATGCCGAAGAGTCATCCTGCTCGCATGTGATGACGTTTAATGACGCCTGCCATTGCCGAATTGTCCGGGTTATTGATATTGAGTTGTTCTGAAGTTGATGGGATAAGTTAAGTATACAAGATCAGTGCTAATTTTGAAAATATCTCATTTAGCACTAGCGTGTCAAACACGCCGCCTCGAGGACAACAAACAGGCTTACAAATACAGAGTGCCTTTTCTAACGTGGTCAGATCAGAATGAAAAACCATCGAGAACGTCTATTCAAAGACGTTCCGTGCCGTACCCCTTGCAAATCCGTACTCACGATCTAATACTTCTACTAGTGAAAGGAGTGGTAAAGCTAAAACAGCTTTGTTAATACAACCAACCGTACGCGTCGTATTGCTCACCGTGGGATTTAATGCCCATCAAACTTGTCACCCCAATATTAAGCAGAAGCAAATACGTAGCTCATTATCAACTATCACCGGCCGGATGTTCCTCCGAGACGTCCGCGCACTTGTTCTACTGCGCGATACATGTCTGCTGCCGACGATTGTGGAAGACCAAAAAGCTGCAAGATCTGCGGAATGGCTTTGCGAGTAAGTAATAGCCGTTGGGAGGTCTTGTGTACGTTAGATGCATCAGGCTGTGATGAAGAAGCTGTCGGATCATGAGACGGGTGGCCGTTATTCATGTTTGGAGTGTTTGCTGGCAATGAAGCCGCGGATCGGAGAGGGGGAGCCGTCGGCGAGCGCAAACTTTCAATGTTCGATAAGGATGGGACGTAAGAAGTGTAGAGTTGATCAAGTGCCGCGCTTGGCTCTGGCGTGATCAACCCTTGATCTAAAAGGGACGATAGGTATTGCGAAGTTCTATATGCTGTATAGGGTGGTCAGAGTTGTCCATAAGAGGAAACAAAAAGAAAGGTCATCCCGTCTCAAAAAAAGACTGCACTGACCTCTGTAATGTGACCAAGATCTCCATACACAGAAGAAGAATGGCAAGTTGGGTATGATGGCTATAACCACATATAAATCAAAAGAAGGTCGGAGGTGTGAGTAAATGTCGAAAACACGTTACTCAATAACGCGTCGCGACCGGAAGACTCACGGACAATCATGAAGGGGGCCGTAAGTGGTGCAATTGCCATCCACATCCAAAATCCTCTGCGATGCCGGGGCTCCCGACTGGTTAGAAGCGTGCGGAGGTGTACAATCGAGGGATGCGATACTTCATTCACACCCGTGGGTGGTAGCGAAGCGTAAATGGATGGTGGATAAATGAGGGGTATCTGTCAGGCAAGGTCAATACACGCTCGGATAAAGCGTCATTCATCTTACTCGCAAGGCCTCCGTCGGACGTTGCTTCTCCGAAAAGTTTACCTCATTTGCTTTTTGTGTTGCATCTGCATGAGTAATCGATGGCCCTAAAGAAGGGTCAACGCCTTTCAGGGCTAGCTCCTCGAAGTCTATGCGATCGATGATGCGTTCGCCAAACTCATAAGTTTGCAACTAGATAACCGAGACATTAAAAAAATGACGACCGGACGCAATATTTCAGGGAGAAAGACCTGCCTTCCAACTGCCTTCGGGTGCCTTTCCAAAACCAGCCCAAAGGTCGGCAGCTTTTATGGACGCCCATTTCACCGCTCGCTTTATACTAGACTGATCTTGGATTTTAGAACTGTTGCCTTGAGAGAGGTCAAAGTGGTAGAAAATAAGCATGCGGTTGGGGTTAAAAATTGCGTGTGGCTTCAGGCCATGATCAGGTGGAATATTTGGGCGAGAAAGAGGCAAAGCAATTATGCGCATTGTACGCATCGCTTTAGGAAGAGCAGACATGATCCTGAAAGCAAGAATACTCAGAAGTAGTAGTGAGGTCTGGGACAGCAGCAACTAGTACCTCCGAAGGTTGGTAGCCTGAGTGGACCACGTGACATGTGGCAGCAAGGACTGAACGCGACTTACATCGTGACCAGCGCTGTCCACCATGAACTCTCCTGATCCAGATTCTCCGATCTCAACTGATTCATCCGATTCACCCCCACCTGATGACTTTCAGTTCGTAGCAAGTGGCCCGAGCGCCCGCGATCCTCATACATCGTTCCTCCATTCCGCTACGACTCAAATATTGGGAAACCTCTCGTCGGTGATGCCTAGCCCTGGATCTAAGCGCCGCCTCCCTGGTGGCTCTTCCTTCGATGGTCCTTCACGGAGAGATCCAAAGACGAGGAGACGAGAGGATGCAATGAGCATGGGGGGAAATTCCCGCAGAATGGCTGAAGGCCAAAATCAAAATGCAGGAGGAAGTAACATTGGAATAACTGCGAATAATGCCTGGGGAGCGAAGAGCGAGCACGGGAACAGACGTGATAAGGAAGATCTTGTTGATGTTTTAATGGCAGAACAACTTAGAAAAGGTCAGTCAACCATCATTGCACGTTTGCTGATATTCAATCTGACTATTGTCGTATACTGTTACTTATAGAATTCGGAGATCCGTTCTTGGAGACAGCCATTAAAAGCCTGAGCTGATTGATGCACTACACTATCCAAGTCGTTCTCCCTAGTTGGTGAGGGATAATTCTTGCCTGAAATTTCCACTGTTAACCTCTATCCATTATGTCAAATAGCCGTTCATAACGTTGTCATTCTCGTATTGGACCAACGGGAATGTCTCATGAGCGCACGAAGTGACATCCCTGAGTTGTTCTCGTTCTTTGATAGCGCGGAACTTGTATGATTCTCTTCCATATCAGCCCGCGGTAACAAATGTAAGATTAACTCCCTATGTTGTAAATCTTCCGACCAGAGCAGATTGTATATCGAAATTGCAAGTTCGTAACATCGGACCGTTAATGCAATCTTGAGTATTCAAATTCATGTATGAAGAACCTCATTCCAATAGATCATCCGGTGCTCGTGCCGCCATACAATACGCATTGGTTAACAGTCCCTGAAGTGGGGCTAATACCGCCGGAATCTCTGGCTATACGCCGACGGGCAAACCAGCTCAATTTGCCCTCTTCGATCAATAGAAACAAGAAGTTCGCGTGTTTGTTAGTAAAAAAAACAAAAACAAATATATGTCCTTCGAAGCTTCGGGTTCGTAGGTTCTGCGAGTTCCATTAGAGTGCGGGGGGACTTCTTATCGCAGGAGTTTGTGCCAACGTTGCTTGCGAAGTAGATCATTGGATTCATCGGGCCCTGGGACCGTCTGTCGAGGCACACCCATCTTCCTTGGCTCGGAACTTTCACCCTCAGGCGTCAGCGTCAATGTATATACTAATTAGAGGTCCTGCTGGTTGACTGGCATGGTTCGGTTCTGACGTTAGTCATAGAAGAAGTGTCAATAACTCAATAAAAAACCGAATTGTTTTTAGAAAATGTAGACAGTAGGGTCCAAGTGCTAATTTAAGACCATAAGTTCGATGAGACTGCAAAATGTTTCCAGAGTGAAGCGGCCGGTTTACTTGACTCGTCCGCGGTATAAGCTGGGCTGGTTCGATACTAATGCATACATCACGGTCGTATGGCGTATATGGTCGCAGATTGCGCAACTGAACGTTAACCTCCGCCACATATGTGATAGGGTTATGATAGCATAGATCTCAACACTCGGGATTGAGAGAACAGACGCTCCGAACACGCTTTCATTTGAACGGTAAATTAAACCAGACATTCTAGATGAATGAATGAATTAAAGGTTAGCCTAAATGACTCTGGGATGCAAAGATGGTTAGATCAAGACCATTCAGATGAATCAGATCTGTTTATCGAGTCGGCAAACACGCACAAATTTGTCAGGTCTGTCGACTATTCCTCGTTACATATCCCAAAGTCCAACATCTTGCTAGCATTCGAACCTTGCGACTGTAGGGGATTCAGATAGGCCACTGCCAGTGACTGGCTGGTCTATCTGAAACCGATCGTCGCGAGTGGGGATGGTCGGCCGGCTTATTCGAAGCAATAGCAGATGAGTTTCTCTCTTCAAACAAAATCGCCGTCCTCCATAATTTGCACACTTGTCCTTGTTTGACAAATCCTTTGCAAGTGTCCTGAGAGCGTTTTTAAGTGTCTTGTATGTATATCGCACGGAAGCAAAGTTGAGATGAGAACATTCAAAGTTTCAAACTCCGCGAATTGTTAGAACAGTGTATCATAATGTACGGTACAGGTACGTTAAGGTCACACTCTATCCTGGTTGCTTTGCAAAGACCAATCGTACTAATTCTGATCTTACGAGCGGAATGGCATCCAGTGGTTTTCTGCGCATCATATCTATGTCCCTGGTCATGGGAGCTGCGTCTTTTGGGGCTGGCCTCGTACCGCTGTCGTTGTCAATGACTAGTATGCACTACGCTGAACTTCAACTGCACTTGGATTAAGCGTCATTATAATTCGCAGAAAGTCACTCGGCGAAGTTGTCCACCTTGAGCACAGGATTACTCATCGGTGCTGCACTTGGCGTTATTATTCCCGAGTGCGTCTTGATATCTTTTCCTTCACAGTTCCTGCCTCTGAGTCAAAGTATTGACAGAGGAGTAGCAAGCACGATTGCTGGCGACCCTGAACCAGAATCGTATTCTCACAATATCGCGTTATGCGTACTTTTAGGGTTTGCGTTCATGTTCCTCGTGGAGGAGTATATATCCCCACATGCTCGACCGCTACCTCTGGAGATTCGCCACGAAGTAGAAGATGTCCACTTTGATATCGCGCTTGATGAGCTTGAGCGCGAGGAGGGTATGACACTACCCGGTTCACACGCGTCTACTTGGCAAATGTTGCGACGTGCACCTTCCTCGAGCTTACAACGCGCATACCCACTGTCATTAGGACTTACAGTGCATGCTTTAGTCGATGGATACGCATTAGGCGTGTCGTCTCTTGAGACACGATCGGGTGCTCTATCTTTCGTTGTTTTCTTGGCTATCATAATACATAAGGGTACGCCTGATGACTTTCTATTACTCACTAATTCTGCTGACCATGGACAACAGCACCCACAGCGTTAGCTCTGACATCCTCTCTCTTGGAAACATCTCTTTCTCCTTCAGAATGCAAGAGACACTTGCTACTTTTCAGTCTCGCTACGCCAGTTAGCGCCATCCTCTCTTACATATTGTACACCCACACCGGTGATGGAAATAACCTGTCAGTTGGAACGCCCTTACTATTTAGCGTAAGATCCATCAGTTTCTTACCGTCAATTAGTACTGATGACTTGATGCGCCACAGGGAGGTACCTTTCTCTATGTAGCGACGGTAGTGAAGTCGCCTTCAGAAACCACACTTCCATCCACTCAAGAAACCATCATCAAAACGTCACGAACGTTTCTCCTGTTGCTGGGAATGTTTTTCCCATTTATAATTAGTGCAATGCTGGGCCATGGTCATTAATGCCGTTGCAGGTCTGAGATAAATTTAAAGAATACACGTTAATGGTCACTAGGACTAAATGCTGCCTAGACACGGAAATTATAGGGTTTAGTTACATCCCAGGTTGATCTCAATCATCCCAGGCCTCAGGGTAGAAAGTCAACATGTGTTTTAATTGCCTGAGCGACCAGCTTCATTGTTCACTTCTCTCATGTCGGACGACAGTCACTCTCAGTCTGATGATAAAGAATCACCGCCACTGAAACGAGCCCGCCACGATGACCAGTCTTTCGAAGCCACAAAAGTCAATCAATCATCTGTTCCTTCCACCATGAACACTAGCTTGCCTCCATTGTCATTATCAATTCTCGGTGTCGAGCCTCTCGATGAATTCATTCGAGAGATCGCTGATTTCGTTCACCATATGATCGTGACGAGACCTGTTTATCCAGATGCAAAAATCGAGGTAGAAGCAAAGCTTGGTGTCCTGAGAGACCGCACAAGTGGGCAGCGGCTGGTATTGCCAGTTCTTGTGGAAACAAGTATGTTCACCAAGTCGTTCGTGATCCTTGCCTGACAATCGGTAGTCTTGATCCCGAACTTGAATGAGGTTGACGTTCGATTCGAATCCAATATGTCTCTTGTCAGCTCTGTTTCATGTAGTCCTTCAACTATAGCTCACGCGATCATTTGGAACGGCAGAATCAGCACAGGCACTTCAATAACATGCTCAACGATCTGAAACGAATATCATCTCAACCGTCTCACCCGACGTCTCCCCTGGAGTATACCCATGTCAAAGTGGTCGATTCCTTCTATCTATCCGAGGATCGAGAAAAAATACGCGTTACTCGCGAGGAGAAGAGTAACACCGTTCTTGAAATAACACGCAAAATAAGGCTTGGGAACCTCAACATATTTAGTCCCAAGAGGGCGGCGGATTGGAGGGTCAGTGTGTCGCTCGAAGTTCCAGGTATGCTTGTATGCATCCCATCAGGTAGCCGATAATAACGATTACTCGATAGTTCCCCATCCTGTTGGATCTCCAACTCACATACGACGGAAAGATAGGATATGCTACTCTCATGAGGAGTTCAACATCGACCTGACCCAAGTCCATTCCAGTAACAATACAACATCTAATCCACCGGTACCGGTATGATGTTTTTTTGAATTCTCGTGACTACGATACTAAATTTGTTCCATGAAGCCTCAAATTTTTCATGAGTTGGAGGTGGAGATCGCTCGCTCAGCATTGCTGCTTTCAACTGCTTCCAAACGTGGGGATCCAAATGCGTCAGAAATTGACCGCAACGCGTTTGACGAGCTTATTCGATCATTTGTCAATAACGCCAGAATATTGGTGAAGAACGCGAACGATGGCTGGCACACGTAACTACATTTGAGTTCCTCTTCAGAAGCTATAAATAAGTAATATTCGAGCATTCCGAATTATGAGCTCTAGTGACTACTACACAGTAGTGGGTTTCCAATGCCGCTCAAACTTCAACTCCCCAACTCCCATTTTCACACCAAAATGAACACAATGTCAAGCTAAGCCACACCTATACCACATACATTATTTGCAAACGTCCAACTTCCACTTGATCAGTATCATATGGTGCGCAGTCGAGAAGGTGCATATTCACAGACACCCCGCTCTACCGTCATCGTCTGTTATGAATTTCTTTGAGTACTCAGCGGGGTGAATCAACACACCCTGTGTTTCTGACATTTGGAACTACATAAAAATCCCCAAGCCTTAAATATATACCGACCCCGCAGGACGGGTTAGGGTTTGAACGAACTTACATTTACGATGTGCTAGATGGCGGCGTGTCGTGAGTTACTGCAACAGATTGAATAACAACAAAATGCAATCAGCAATACTTAGAGCTTGAGGACGGGCGAGGCGGCGGTAGTGGTTAGAATCGGAGCACAAAATGTCGCAGTCATTGCGGCAAGTGAACATGAAGATCCCACAGGCACAGAGTCTTCAAAGCTGTCGAGCAGTTTAGGAGACTCTCGTGGATATCACGTGCAGTGCATTTAAGGAACGGATCAATTGAGGCGGTTAGAGGTTGGTTCAGGCAAACGGGGCAGTTTGACAGCATTATGCGACGAGAAGGACAAAATTATTTGAAGCATCGGTCGAATACCCGAGATGTCGAGTAGATGCGAAAGCAAGCACAGCGTTCTCGTAGACAGTTTGACAGATGGTAACTTGACAAAACCCTCCTCCCAGGCCTACTAGCGTGAGAGTACAACAGTAAGATGATAATGTCCCCGACTAACCGAAAAAAAATCAAACCGGTATCAGTGCAATCACAGCCCAACAACCTCGACCAGATCTCCATCATCTAGGTCTGCCTCTCCGATTTCCATGTCATCTGCCATCTTATCACCGTCAACCATTAGCTGAGGCATTGCTTGTGCTGTTTGAGGGTATTGATCGGATAGACCGGCTGCCTTGAGAAACGCTTTCACAATGACTCCACACGTTGTTGTAGGTCGGACTGTAAGATTAACATTTTCCTCGGTAGCCGCGGACCTGAATACAAGTTTGATTTTGTCACCGCCAGTGGACTCGGCTTCCGACTCCGAGTCTGATTCTCTTTCCGGAGACGGTGAATTCTTTGATGACTGAGCGGCCTTTGGAGCCTGTTGATGGCGTTGAGCGCGTACGTGATCCCAAGTTGTTTGATCACATGCTTCTATTAAGGTTTTCAGTTTCACGTCCCCGCGCACCGAGAATAACGCACCGAGTTCTCCTTCTGCCCAAATTCGAAGACTGTGAGGTGTGCCTGAAGCAAACAAACGCTTTCCATCATGACTGACGACAAGATGGTCAACCAAAACAGCGGCCAAGTCTGCTAACTCCTCAAACAAGTACTGGAATGTGTCATGCTAACAAAGAGTTAATACCATTAATGGTGCACTCGTTGCTAAAGGCACCCACTCTTTTCATTTTAAAATTCCAAACATCCTTTGCACCAGCTGTATTCAGTGGATGAGGTTGCCATCGAACCTTGATGATAACTAGCTCAGGGCCGCCGCCTTGTTCTGGCGTGTTCTTGGTTGTTACAGCCCTTCTACGAACTTCCTCGGCAATTTTTGCGAGCTCTGGATTCAAGTCAGAAGTGTCCGTTGGGTCATCGGGAATTTCAATTGGTGATGGGGCCCGACGTGGTGCAACAGCAAGTGCTTGTCTGGTAATATTAATCTTCGTGAGTGATACAAGTCTTGCCCAATGTGGTTTAACACAACCTGACCAATGCCCTTGCATTATTGAGTTGGTGTATGGGAAGTTGCGGGGGTGGCGTAATAGATTTCGAGCGGCTACGGTCTCTTTTTCGTTTTCGGGGGGGCGAATCGTTACATGAGATCCTTGGTGTGTGCTCTGTAATTTCAAAATCGTCTTCTTCGTTATCTGAAGAAAGGCTACGGAGGAGCTATCAATACAACCGATCCGCCGACCGTGATGGTATTCGTGTACTATGCCGAGGTACTCTGACAGCACGAGATATAGCAACGAACTAGAGAGACACACGCACAGAGTAACTATGTCCACCGTTTGCCATCGAGGTAATTCATGCTGTTTATTTGATTTCTTCTTGCGATGCCTCGGAGTAGATTCCGGTTCAGTTTGTTCACCCCAATCGAGGTCGTCCTCGTCAGCTTTGTCGGATGGAGTGTCTGAGCATCGGATTTCAGGGTGAGATCAACGTGATAACCTATGGGAGCGGGCACACCCTTTGTCATTGCTCGAAGCTTGTTCCAGCATTGAGAGGTTCTTCCGCGATTACGCAAGAATATAGCATCTTCGTCATCTAACTTGCTCCCTGCAACAGGATTTTGCGTTGTGCTCGTAGAAGAGGAGGGTTTCCCTGGAGATGGCGTTGAATTGAGGTCGACTGTTGTCGACGATGCAGCCTTGGGCTTTGCCACTGGACGTGGCCTTGGACGCGGACGCGCAGTAGACATGGTGAAAGTAGATAGCGTGGGAAGATTCTGCTGGCTTGCCCTGCGGTCACTCATCCATTCAATTCGCAAACTCCTTGTCAATAATGTTCAAAAAACCCAAGTCAAAGCTGACTCCAAGGGGTAGGGAGAAGTCACCTGAAGACACATCACAAACAACATCTGGGAATGGAGAGACCGTCGATGAGTCGCCAATAGCTCTCGCGTCTAGACTCAAGAATAAAGCCAAACGCACTAAGCCTAAATCTACGCTCAGTTTCGGTGGTGACGAGGAGGTTCGTGTTTTCACTTCATATACTGTCAAATTCTTGCTTACCACTTAAGGCGCCAGGCAGGAGATGGGGAAGTCTTTCAATTGAAGAAATCGAGTCTCAGTCAAAAGTTGTCCCTGAGCGCTCATCCTGCGTATGTTCATATCTGTACTGCTGTAGAGTTTGGTTTACTCATGAGATCTATTAGGAATGTGTTGCCTGTCTCGCTTGACCAAGCTACTATCACTCCACATTCTAATGGGGCACCCGTATATGACCAGGCGTACCTCTCACAACTGAAAGCAAGCACGCCTTCGTCACGACGTGCCACAGTCGCTGAAGGTTATGATGCAGACGTTTCGATGGACCCGGGTGAAACTAGTATAGAGGTCACTGAGATAGCTGGTAAGATCTTGCTTAGGTCCCCATGTTCACTATCTAATGACGTGCAGATGATGTTGACACAATGATTCCTTCGGAATCGTCTATACTATCAGCTAAACAAAGACGAGAACGTATGCGGACTCATGGTACAGAAGATGATTTTATATCTCTTTCTGTCACGAAACGTGATACCGTACCACAGGGTCCACATCCAGAAAGTCGATTGATGCGTGAAGAGGACGAGCTTGGAGAAGGAGACGACGGTATGTCATTTATCAGCTTTTTTGCACCAACCTGACAAAGGACAGAATACGCGGAGTATACCAGCGCTCAAGAGCGCATTGCACTTGGCAAGAAGTCGAAAAAACTTGAAGCTTCGAAGCGCAAGGATGCTATGCAAGAGATGATCGCAGATGCGTATGTATAAGCATTTTGCTAGGGATTTGACTAACATTGTGAGAACAGCGATGAGGAAGACGAGGAGACCATGGAGTGGGAAAAGGAACAGTTGCGGAGAGGCGGCCCATTCCAAACTTCTCATAAGGTATCTCCCGCAAAACAGGTCTACAAGCCTGCCGCAAGTGAGACATATGTCCTTTTGGAATTGTCGTTGACTAACTGGAGCCTTTGATAAGTTCCTACATCGACTACGATACCATCTCTTGGACCGGCAATGGATCGCCTGTCTCAGTCTTTGACCGCGATGACTACGTCGCACACAACAAATGTGAAGGCAGCAGCATCATTTGTCGATGAACGAGAACAATTGGATGTCCGTGAATCGGAGCTACGCGAGATGATTGCCAAAGCTGAAGCAAAAAGGTCGTGGTTCGCTGCATTCAAGGAATGGGTCGAAAATGTGGCCACATTTCTCGATGAGAAGGTTAGTATCATCCCTATCTTACATTAAGCAAAATTTCACGGATGCTTAGTTTCCGAAGCTGGAGAAGCTTGAGGATGAATTTGTCTCAATACTCAAAGAACGCTCTGCAATGATTGCTCAGCGACGCCAAGCGGACAACCAAGATGATCTATCTTTGATTTTCGGTTCTCTTTTGGTGGCCACAGATCAATCTGAAGAAGTGGATGATTTAGGACGCGTTCTACCTCGAGCAAACCCTGTTACTGTACGCCGTGAGCGACAGGCCGCGCGAATAGCCCGTCGACTTCATCGTGAACGTGGACGTGCAACCAGGGCCATCATAACGCAACTGGACCGAGAGGAGGGCTACTCAACGGACTCCTCTTTACCCCCATCAGATGCCATAGATTATCAAAGTGCTATGGAAAGAATAGCCAATGATGGACATGGTTTATTATCTGATGTGCATGCAGCAGAGTTCAGAGATCCGAGTTTGGGGTTGGCTAAGTGGTTTGGTGGATGGCGTAGACGCTTTAGTGATAGCTATACTGGTGCGTGGGGTGGGCTTGGACTCGTCGGTGCTTGGGAGTTCTGGGTGCGGCTAGAACTTCTTGGATGGAACCCCTTCGAGGTGTGTTGATTTGTCTATGCCATGAGGCGCTAATTTACCATAAGTGTCAGAATTCGCACACCTTGGATGAATTTTCGTGGTGTGCTTCACTACACGAGTATTGTGGAGATAATGATGATCCAGAGTCGGATACAGGCCCGAATGATGACTTGGTTTCCGCCATGATTTCCACGGCAGTCGTGCCCCTCATCTGCAAGGTAGTCGAGGCAGGCGCGCTTGACTCATACTCGGCATTGGATACCCGCAATATGATAAACTTGGCAGAGCAAGTGGAGGCTTCCATCGGACACGACAACCCCAAATTCCAGGTGACTAGATACTCATGGTCACCACGAACGAGTTGCTATTCTGACACAATTATCTAGATGATATTAAAATCGGTGTTTTCCGTTTTCGAACGCTCTGTATCAGCATCGGAGTCCCTGATAGCTCCCTTTGTCGCACTCAACTGCCCCGTTTTCGATCCAGATGCTATTGCCGCCCGTCGGCGTCTACTTTGCCACGCATCAAAGTTTTTGAATACCCTCATTCAATGGCGCAAGTATACTGGTGAAAAATTGGGCATTGATGATCTTTGCATCCGACATATGAACAATGTAGTTTTACCGATTGCCGAAAGCGGATGGGAGGTTGGAGGAGAGGAAATAACTCGAGAGGTAATTGACGGGAATGTCGGATATTTGCGTGGCTAACTCTACATCTTCTAGATGATTGCCATAATGCCATACGAAGTAATACGCGCACTGAAAGCGCCATTAAATTCTTTGGCGTCTTGAGTTAACAGTTGTTCTTATGGTGATATTCAAGCGGGGTATGTAATTGCCTCAAGTTATCCCCTTGTTTCTGTCCGAGTAGTCCCCGCTGTATGACGAGGATAGTGCAGGGTACCTCCCACGTAATCACACTATCACCGCTCGGCGCTCGGAAGACCAATATGAAGCCAAATGACTGTTGTGCAAAGCCTCTGCGGCTTCTATACGCATGAACGGTTCGTTCCGCTGTCAGACACTTGCGCCGTTGTAGCATTTCCCACTGTCACGCGCCTCCACGATCGCGCCATTGTTTTTGTCAGATATCCCACTTCTAGCCGCTGACTGCAGATCTACTACAGATTCGACAGAATGAATAATTTTTGGAAGATACGTCTTGTGTTACGTGCTTTACCTTGTCTGAATACCTAATATTTGAATTGTGTGCGGTAACCGCCGGGTAACTGCCGTAGAATTCGTGAGTTTCACTCGAATTGATTGAAGCCGATGAATGAATACACGAGTCCGGCTCTATTTTATGCGATATGAATGTTTTACCTTTTGCGCTGTGGAATCTTTCCTGGTTGGTTTCGATGCAGGATCAGTCGCTATCTCTCATCGAGGTCCTCTGGGAGAGTGCGGTACGCGTGGCCTTCTCTCTGCTTTCACCAAATCATGCTATTCGCAATTCACGGACCACACGCTGAGAGCGACAACTCCATGGCAGTGGAGGCTTCTGTCCAGGAATCTCCCGTTTCCCCTTGTACGTGACCATCCCATTCAAACCTATTTTAACCGATAAGGAACTCTCGAAGAAGTTGCAACGTGACTCGGTGCGTTCGAGCCTTTTCGAAGATTGATGAGATCATCATGAGATTCTTGATGAAAATCAAATTGGGATTTAAACTGGTGGACGAACTTAGACCGGCTCGATTTGTTTCCACTTCGAATTGGTTCAGTTGATGCGAAGGACCCGGAACGATGTTCACGCTGTTGTGATAATAATAGCAGACCCTGTTTGTTCATCTCCCTGCATGGTATAGTGCGGTATGAATGCTTTTTGCCGACCGTTTTGTCGATGCAAAGCACACACGGTTGTGCCAGTCCGAGAATTAAAAGATGTACGTTACGTTGCCTTACACTAATTTGTACGTTCTGATTGGCTGACAGGTCCGAGTATGTATTAAGCAAAACTAATATGCATGGATAAAGTGTGTATAATCTTTCCGCAGGTAGGTACACCCATTACGCTCACATCCGGAGTCCCGGTTGGGCTATGTACGTATACTCATCATAGATGATAACAACAAGCAACTATAAAATAGGCAGCTTGCCAGACCCTGTTCCACAGGAGCTTTAGCACTCTGTCCTTCCTTTTTCTCAGTACAAGATGACGGGTATCATCGAAAAGCCTCGTCATTCCGAGACGTCGAACAACTCTTATTCAACTCGACCCAACGATATGACCGTCCTAGGAGTCGTTGACTTCGCTGACTGTGATCAATGTTCTCCGTATCCCAACCGATGGTCAAGCATCAGGTAGTACCTACCTGTCCGCAAAACATTGACAATAGCTGACTGGACCTGTTGCAGGGACCACATCTCCGCACCGGCAGCCGAGTTCATGGGTGCCTTCATTCTATGCTTACTTGGCTGTGGTGGCAATTGCCAGGCAAATCTCTCTGCCAATAAAAGTGTATCTGCAAGCCCGGCGGGGGTGAGTTCAAGGCATCGAAAGTGATGAATGGACTGAAACTTATTGGTGTTTGTTCACAGAATGCTGTCACATCCAACCTCTCTTGGGCCATTGGTGAGCGAACCTTCATCTTTGTATGTCGACGTCTTCCTTACAAGCTGGTCAGGACTGTCCCTTGGTGTATGGATCTCTGCAAACTACTCAGGTGGTCATGTGAACCCTGCGGTGGGTGCCCCTGAATATTTTTGCATGTGACTATTTGTGCTGACTCCTAGTAAGGTCACCATAGCATTTGCTACTGTCCGCGGTTTCCCCTGGAAAAAAGTTCCAATCTACATCCTTGCGCAAGTCCTGGGCGCCTTATGTGGGGCAGGTGTAGTCTACGCTACTTACTTCAATGCGATCGACATCGTCGAAGGGGGCTCCGATATTCGCACAATT